CCCCCCCCCCCCCCCCCCCCTTTTTTTTAGAAAAAAGTTCGTCTACATCGCTGCCCTCCCCTTTAAGCACCAACGCCGTTCTGGACAAGCAAGTTCCTGGTGCCCCAGTGCAAGCCCGAAATGGAGTTCTGCAAAGCACTCTCCTGGAGGTAGCTGCACAGGTTGGAAGCCGAGGCCTTGCGCAGGCCCAGCAAGTACGCACCCAGGCCGGCAACGTGGGGGGCGGCCATGGAGGTGCCCGACATGGTGATGTAGCCGCCGCCGGCGCGGGCGGACACGACCTCGACGCCGGGGGCCTGGACGTCGACGACGTCGCCGTAGTTGGAGTCGCGGGCGGGCCGGTCGCGGCTGTCGACGGAGCCGACGGTGCAGACGGAGGGCTCCGAGGCCGGGGAGACGGAGGCCGCGTCCATGGGGTTGTGGTTCTGGTCGCCGTTGCCCGCGGCGACCGCCACGAAGAAGCCCCGGCGGACCAGGGCCGCGGCGGCCTCGTTCATGGCCTGCGACCAGCCCCCTCCCAGGCTGAGGTTGACGACGACGCCGTTGGGGCAGTGGCGCTCCGCGGCGTCCCGGGCGACGTGCTCGATGCCCGCGATGATGACGGACGTGTCGGCGCCGCACTTTTGCTCCCGGTTCATGTCGAGCACCTTGATGCCGTAGATGGTGGTCTTCTTGGCCACGCCGACCTGCCGCCCGCCGATGGTGCCCGCCACGTGCGTGCCGTGGAGGCAGTTGTCGTTTTGGTCGCCGACAAAGGTCCCGAGGAAATGGGCGCGGCCCTCAAACTCCTGCCAGCCGGCGCTGTTAGACGGGTTCCCGGGGGGGTGGTGACGGGGGTGCTTACGGGATGTGCGGCGTCGAGACCGCTGTCGACAACGTAGGCGCATGTTCCCTCGCCGGCGCTCTCGTCGTAGATGTAGTCGCTTGCGCCGGGGCGTCTGTGGGAGAGTCGAGCAAGACCCCAGGGGGCCTGTTGCTGGGTAGTCACGCTGTATGCTTCGTAGTAGGCGTTCTGCTCGACGTAGTCGACCTGTATTGTGGAAGTTAGCACCTAGTCTTGATGCAACTCCGAGTCCTCGGCCGTCTTACATCGGGGTTATCACGCAGGGCATCGAGCGAAGAAGAGTCCAGCCTGCCAGTGAAGCCCTTGAAGATGGAGTCAAACACCTGGTCAGCGTCCCCGGGCATGATCTTCATGGCGTCGTCCAGCGCAGCCTTGGCGCAGCCCTTCTTGAGCTTGACAATGTACTCATCGGGAACGAGGGTGAAGGCCTCGCCACGAGGAATAATCAGCGGTGCCGGCTCGGACCGCTTGCGAGTTGGGCTGGCCAACGTCAGGGGCAGAATGGAAAAAAGGAGTGACAGTGTAGGATGCATTGTGAGGTGATATACTGAGCTGCTCGGCAGATCGTGCTGGACAAAGAGAACGAACTAGGATGGGCGGGATGAAGATGGGCTGGCTTGATCCTACAAATCCATCATGATGAGAAACTCGAGTCCTTTATATACTCACCATTGTCTACGCTCACATCTACAACCGTCGATACATCATATAGACCTCAATGGGCCATCCAAGCAGAGTTAGGAAGGTGTGCAACGTAGGCTCCCTCTTCAACGTTGAGGATGCTTACCCCCATGATCAAAACAAGAAAAAGTTCCCGACTAGAGAATATCCCGTAAGCCGACGAACGTTGAGGATTCTTACTCCCATGATCAAAGCAAGAAAAAGTTCCCGACTAGAGAATATCCCGTTAGTAAACCGAGCGCCGTGGAGTACGTGATACCGGCTATAAGGCCATAAACTGCGAGACTTGTATCATGACCAACTCTATCAAAGTCACTTCACCAACCGATAATCCCTAGGCCCGGCCAGTGCCATCGTGCGGCCGCTACTGCCTAATCGGTGAATGGGATTCTTTCTTTAGTATATGTAACCTTGACGGATGCCTTCACCCTGACAAGAAGGTGAGCAATATCCGGCCCATCGGGGCGAGACCGCCAAGGTGAAGAACGACACGGGCACGACGATCTGCCGCTCTGTGCCGACGACAACGAACCCAGAGCCACGGCAATTGTGCAATCCATGTCTTTAGAGTAGCCAACTACGGCAGGCGACTAAGGAGATGCGGTTGTGTGGCATGAGCCTCACCATACAAACCAAAAGCTGGGTCGTTGTTTTTACGTAGCAGTCCTGACGATTGCGCTTTCCAAACGCGGAAGCTGCTCTTGGGATGTTGTTATTGACGCGCGCCCAGCCAGGCGGCGCTCCTTGTCCGGCGCTCCTAGAGACAGTCAAGCTGGGCAGGCTGCATACAATCGTCGCCAGAGACTTAAGCATCCATAGGTTGTATCATGGGACAGAAACCCCCAAGGCGATGAAGCACATCCCTTCTTGTCTTGTGTACTATACGTAAATAATTAGTTGAGCAACTTCCATAACTGTCAGATATGCATACTGTCCATCTTGCAGCCTGAAAAGCCCTAGCCTTTGGATAAATCGCAACGCCATACGTCAGCCCAGGCTACACCTGCTACGTCAAGCCATTGCTTCCATACCACACTCTCCCTTGGGACACGCCCGCATGCCTCTTCCATCTGCGGAAATGAATTTTGTCCACATTGTCCACTGCCAAGGTTGGACAGCTGACTTTGAATGCGGCAGGTCGCTGCATCGGAAGCTTCTGACAAGTAACAGACAAGTCAGGGTAAGCAAAGGAATATGCCGTTGATTAATGACCCCCACCTGTTTGTAGTTTGGCGTTTCTAATAAACGCAGCCCACTCCTGGTCTTGGTCTGCGACGTTTCAGCTGTTACGGGGCCGGTTGATGAATCGATGACTCGCGGAACATGGTCGTGGGAGATTCGATTTGTGTGGTTTGTCATGTTAAATGCTGGGCGAACTTGATCGTATGAGAACAGTAAGAAGATTCAACAGAAGTGGTTCGATGGAACGAAGTCTGCAAAGGCCAAGAACGGCAAAATCTTAGCCTAAGACGACAACGCATTGAGCTTGAAGCATGCCCATTCCGTTAGTTTCAAATCTACTGTCTCTCATCGAGTGCATGACATAGCTGTAGATAACACGAGGTAAGTAGACTTACATTCGACTTCAGACAGTGACAGAGATCAAGCTCCTCATCTTCAGCGATAAGCTCATGTTTCATAAGAAGCAGCACAAAAACGAGGACGTTGCCATCTTCTGCTTAGGGTCCACAACCATGTATGTGTGTAGTCTAGCTAACGCCTGGGCTGGTCATCAGGGTAAGTCGAAAGACATCAACTGATGTGCATCCTGAGTCCTGCGCTTACATAAAGCAGATGTTGCCCCTCAATCCTCAATGCCCAGCACAAGTAATAAAAGCTTCCGTAAATACCGAAAGCAGATGCTGTGGGCTTACGGCAGCAACCGTGCTAGGCCTAGCGCTCGCGGCGGAACTCAAGTCCGACAAGACACGCCTCGTTCTAACGCTCGCTGAAGCATGTGGAAAAATTGGAACATCTCGCCTCCACCAGGGCAATCCACTTCCTGCGAGGTGCCTAGATACTTGACAGCCTGCGGTAGCTGTCTCAGAAGCTCAAGCAAGCTCTGCGGAGCTGAGCCCTGCGTCCTCTGTGACTTATGAGAAGAGACAGAGTTCCGGCGTGGGGAGGGGAGGTTTCCTTCACCTGAAAGCCGTATGGAGACAGACCATGATCACGGCGCATCCAACAGAATCCAGATGGACTCTTTTTTTTTCTTGTATCGTCATCGCCCCATCCGGTTGACCGTTTTTCGATGGAACCCCCGGGCTTGTGGACCTTTCGACGGCAGGCGGACCAATGTGAATGTCCACGGCCTTATCAGACACAGGATTTTCAGCGCCTTGAGCTCCCGTCAGCCTTCTATCCTATCATCGTGGTGGCTTGCGGGCATCTTTCGGTGGTAGGTAGCGCCGCGGGTGGCAAGAAAGAGCTGTCCAACCCAACCTTCAGTTTCTTGTTGGGCTGGTTCAGAGCTGCCTGAGCTTCCTGCATGTTCCTGTGATGACCTCATCGGCCCCCATCAGCCCCTCCTTGCCAGTGCTCTCGAATCCCTCCTGTGTGTCTTGTGAGAGCTGTAAATGCACGTCGCATCATGTTGAAGGTGGCCATGGTGCAAGAATTTCCAACCAACTGCCGCATCCATTTCCTCATTTCATTTTGCTTAGCGATCAATACATGCGTTAGCGCTCTGTGTCTTATTAGAACCGGGGATGCATGGTCAAGGATCATGAGGGAATCACGCAACAAAGACATAGTTGAGCATAGCTTGCAGACCGCTTGACTCCAGCCACCTCGGTTGCCACTGGTTCGGCCGTAGATAGCACACACCTTGGCTAAAAGGTGACACCCTCCCAACAAAAGGCGAAATAAATTGTCCGACTGCTTTTTCTGCTCGTTGTGTGCTCGGCGTTGGTCGTAAATTCATCATTTGTTGAAAGAAATCCTTGTTCTTCCTGTTGGATTTAATCGTCATGGGCAGCTATACCTTCAAGTGGTAAGTGCGATCACGACTGCGAAGCTCCTTCCTCCCCCGCCTTTGTTGGACGCGCCTGCCTCGATTGCTTCGCCGCCCACGCTGGACTGGTGGCTGCAAGACCATGAATCACCAGCTATTCGTTGTTCCAGCAACTTGTAGTATTTTGTCATTCGACATGATCACGCGGCTAACTAGACAATCTCGCGCAATACAGGGAAAATCCCACTGGCGATGTATCCGACGTTCTCGTTACCGGTTCGTTTGATGGATGGACCAAATCGGTGAAGCTCGAAAAGCAAGGGACCAGCTTTCATAAGACGGTCACTTTCGCGGAGAAAGATGCTTCAAGCAAGATATACTACAAGGTGAGTTGATGCGGCCTCGTTTGTCGTCTTGCTTTTGCTTCCCCTTCCCTTGTCATTTCGAAATGCAGTCAAGCCTCGTCCCATCAGGGCTGGACCGGAAGCATTGGGCGACAAACAGACGATTTACGAGAGGAACCACCAACCCTGTCGAACCTACGGAGAATTTCGATGGCCAATTGCAAATGCGACAACATCTGCGACCTTCGCCGCCCACCCCCTGTTGCACATGGAGAGCAGCAAAAATTTGGGAGACACCATTGTTAATTGAAATTGCTTCTTTTTCCTTTTTCCAAGAAAAAAGAAAAAGGAAAAAGGGAACAAACAATCCTATTATTAGTACGGAGCGCAACACTGCGACAATGGCTGGCGCCCCATTTTCACTCCAGACTGCAGGGGTTGACCGAACGGGCCAAGATTGGGAACGAAGGCGCGAAGTGCTTTCAGCTCTCGGGCGAAATTATGACCCTGGTCATAGACTGCTGCACATCCATGGCACTACTATTGGGTGCATTCCATTTCCTCGAGCTTCTGTCAGATGCAGGCTTCGAAAAGAGACGACCTAAGAGTGAGGCGATGCGTTGGCCGTGCGACCGCACCCATCGAGGACAATACTACAAGAAACGGATAATCAAGCCCTGGATGCGGCCACACGGTCCAAGACAGCCAAAACGATGTTGCCTTACTCCGTACCGATCCAAGACCATGTCGACTGGGTGGGAAGGCTACATGTAAGCACTCGTGCTGATTGGCATCCAACGTGGTAATACGGAGTACCATGACCGGTAGCGTCTCAAATCGTCGCCGAGTCATCTCGAGACTCTGTCGTCGTTTGGCTGGTTCCGTCGATGGGGTTGCGCCGGCTGACCGGCCGTATTGGCTAGTGACAAGGCGGCAGGGCCGGGTCAGTTGCGACCAACAGGCAACGGGGCACGCATTGTTTGCAAAGTCGAAGATTGCGCAATTGCAACTGAGCAAACAAACTGAGCGAGGCGACTGAAAAAATCACGGCACAGCACGGGGTAAGGCTGGCTACCACACTGTCAGCCCCTGACTCATCTAGTCTGACGACTTGCCGAACACTTGCATGCTGGATTGAATCGCTCCGGCCAGCTGTCCACAGGCCACTGATGTCCAACCCTGTCCAAAGCGACCAGCGTGGCCCAAAAAGCTATTGAGCCCTGCTCCAAGGTCGCAACAAGGTGCAAAAGCCCTCCGCACACGACACCGGACCCACCGGACGCACACGCCAGCCAGTACGAGCTCAGCCCCTTGGTTCACTTGCGCACTTGCGCACTTCTGACTTGCGCCAGCCTCCCCGCCTGCATATATCTCACGTCACGCCCGCCCCGTGCGCTGTGTCCACCTGTCATTCACACATTTTACTTCCAGACCTGTCATCTGTTCTTGATCAATTGGCGCGCAAACTATCATCTGCAGGTCAAAGTCTTTGGCTAACTCTATCCGCTCCCTCCTTTCTTCACTATTTAGTTCGTCGTCGATAACAATTGGACCATCAACGAGTCCTACCCGCACGAAGCCGACCACGAGGGCAACGTCAATAACTTCCTGACCCCGGACGACCTCTCCAACTCTAAATCTGCGCAGGTGCCTGCACTCGCTGCAGCTCCCTTTATCAACACCGTCACCCCCGAATCCACCACCGTTGCCGAAATGGCCAAGAAGAACAACAACAAGAAGAAGGCCGCCGCCGCCAGTAAGCAGCCTGCTGCTGCTGCTGCTGCTACTGCCGTAGCCGGCGCCCCCGCCTCTGAGCCCAAGCCCGAGACCAACGTCGCCGAGGCTGCTCCTGCCGCAGCAGAAGCTACTGCGACCCCATCTGACGTCCCCGGAGGCTTCCCGGTGACGCCCTCCAATGAGCCTGCCGACCTGGAGGATAAGACTGTCAGCATCAATCCTCTACCAGCTACAGTTCCTGGCACTAGCAACCCTATTAAGCTTGCCCCCGGTGAGAAGATCCCAGAGGCAATTGCCGCTCAGAATATCAATGAGCATGTCAAGCTAGACAAGGAGTCCTACGAGCGGAGCGACGCCCTTCCCGGCGGCCCTCCTTTCAGCACCACCGAGCTCCCTCCCAAGTCTGGCACTATGATCCCCGAATCTAGCCTCCCTATGGGCGATCAAGCCGACGTCACCAACCCTACCATTAACTCGGTTGGCCCCGGTGCCACGACTGTCGCCCTCGCCGGTCAGGTTCCCCTGGAGCCTGGCGTCACCAACCCTACCATCAACTCGGTTGGCCCCGGTGCCACGACTGCCGCCCTCGCCGGTCAGGTTCCCCTGGAGCCCAAGGTCCCCGAGGTTGTTAAGGAGAGCCAGGAGAAAGCCGGCGTCGCACCCGAAGCATCTGGTGTAGCTGAGGAAGTCAAGGAAAAGGCCAAGGTCGAGGAAGAAATCAAGACAAAGGTTCCCGAGGCTCCTGCTACCTCTGTCGGCACTTCTGGCATTGGAACTGAGAAGAAGGAGAACACTGGCGCTATCCTTGGTGCTGCCACAGCTACTGGTGGCGCTGCTGTTGCGGCTTCTGTTGCGGCAGTTAACAAGTTTTCTGACGATGCTACTCCTGCTGTGAACGACGCCAAGAAGGCGACTGTCGATACAATCAACAAGAACCTTCCTGCCACTGTAAAAGACAAGCTACCCGAGTCAGCCCAGGCCGCTCTTGCTAGTGACAAGAAGGACAGTCCTCTGGAGAAGATTTCACCTGAAGTTCCCAAGGAGGTCAAGGAGTCTATTGCTGAGGCTGGTAAGAGCCCTGAGGCTGCTGCAAGCACCTCTGCGGTCGAGGAGAAGAAGGAGGTCGAGAGCGAGCTGCTTAAGGAAGTGAGGAAGGCACCTGCTGTTGATGAAGTGAAGAAGGCACCTGCTCTTGATGACGCCGTCAAGCCCGCTGAAACAAAAGCCCCCGAGACAAAGCCTACAGTCGCCACGCCTGCAGCAGCAAGCACTCGGGCCCCAACTACTGTCTCTGCTGCGAATGGAGCTACGGGCGCCGAAACCAAGGCTTCTGAGCCTCCTGCCGCGACACCAGCAACGCCCGCGACCAATGGCAATGGCACTGAGAGCAAGCCTGCCGCTGAAGGCGGTGCTGCCCATGACAAGAAGAAGAGCCGCTTGAGTGTCATGTTCAGCAAGCTCAAGGCCAAGTTGAAATAAAAATAGTTTTCCGTGCGGGTTGGGGAAATACAGCAAGATAATGAGGGTTGGGAAGGGTTTTTTGTTACGGTGATATATGTAGTGTGGTTTTTTGCTTGTTGAGGATGCTTTGTACCAGTTGTCAATGATTCCCCCTCAGATTTCTGCGAATAAGAGAAAAGTGGTCAGGGACTTGACCTGACGCCCGACGCCCAAGGGTGCAGCGTCGTATACCTAATTCACGATCATTTTCGATGCCGCTCATTTCATGTGTTTATTTCAGCATTGCAATTGCAATTGGAATCCATGTACAATCAGCTTGTTGGAAGTTTCATGAGACTGACTCAACATGCGAGATCATGACTGGGGCTGGGGATACGTCGAGACAATATCAATAAATAAAACCGTACATAATGTATCTTTGCCTAAACAACCGGCTGGTAATGTGACTAGCTTTTCTCCAAGTTTATTCCACCATGCTACTATAACCCGACAATTCTATGCTGCCTCATGCCGCACGTTCAGCCATGGCCAAGTTCAGTAGCAGTTAGTAAAACTCAATACACGAAATCATCCAATTACAGCCTGGTCAAACTCCTCATAGTATCGATGCGTTGCGAGCGCCAACTGAAGCCACCAATTGCAGCACGGGAAAGTAAGCCCGCATAAGCATAAATCACGGGAGCTGTTCTCGCCGATGCGTTTTTCTCGACACAACGTTGCTTAACACGTGCGATGACGGGCGCGCACGTGAACGTGAACGGACCACGAGGCGACGCTGTCATTTTTGGCCATCATCGGCTTGTTGATAGATTTTGCTTTGGTCAGACCAGGAGCTAAAGCGGACTGCAAACTAAGGTGGCTTCGCTGCTGCTAATAAGAGAAGGCTCAACTCAACATTTGTCGATTTACCAACAAAGGCTACGCCTCACAATGCTGCACACATTTACTGCCATTTTTCTGGCTGCATCAGCGGCCGGCGCAATGCGACCATGGAAAGCCGCAGGCCCGGGTGATTCTCGCAGCCCCTGCCCCATGCTGAACACTCTCGCAAATCACGGATACCTGTACGTCTCAACCGCGCAGCCCGTCCGTCAGAGCTGCGTCTAACGAAGGCTAACCGATGCAGACCACACAACGGGAGAAACCTCTCGGTTAAACACTTTGGCGATGCCGTCGTTGAAGCTCTCAACGCCGCCCCCTCGTACGGCACCCTGCCCGCGCGCGCGTTCATCAAGAGCTGGGGCAAGGACTTCTTTGACCTCGAGGACCTCAACACGCCGGTGATCCTGCAGCACAGGGGCTCCTTGACTCGCGACGACGTGACGCCCACGGAGAGGAATATCGATGTGGATGTTGCACGGGTGTCCGCCCTGCTGGAAGACAGTCCGACTGACTACGTGGACGCAGCGTCCATAGCCAAGAGTCGCCTCCGTGTGGAAGCGTTATCGGAGCCTGAGAGACTGTCGAGCTGGGACCAGCTGTTGGCTTATATGGAGTCTAGTCTGGTGCTTTTAATGATGAAGGAGGGCGAGGTGCCGTCTGCGTTTAGTTTTCCCTCGGCCAAGACTTGGACTGCGCCAAAGGAGCGTGTGAGGGTGTGGCTGACGGAGGAGAGGTTGCCGGATGAGTTGGGGTGGAAGCGCTCAGAGCGAAAGCTGGGCTCGCTGGACTTGGTGCCGATTATGAAGGCCATCTTTGATGAGAAGAGGGCGCAGAGCGGCAAGGGCCGGCTTTGGAAGTCGTTTTTGTCGTTGTTTTGGGGTTCACGAGATGAGTTGTAGGTTACATTGCTGCAGGAGCTTGGTATGACCACATATCTGAGCTATCGTGGTCTAGTCTCATTATGGTACAGAGTAAATGGTGGGAAATTGATATGCTAATTGTCAAGATTTTTCAGTCGGCTTCCGTAAAGGGAAGGCTTAAATGGACTCCATCACGGCTTCATAGGGAGAGGCGGCTTACCCTGTAGACGACAGCAGCACGAGGCGTCGTGGAATCTACAGTCATATGAATAGTCACGTGCGGAGCAATGACTAACCACTTACTGCTCTTCCCAGATCTCCCGGCCAGCAGTATCACCTTCGTCACGGCTCGCCCCACTGACTCTACTGGCTTGACTGCTCCACCACCACTGCCGGGGTCCGTCCAGGTTGGACCCCTCTGAGAGAGTCATCACTCTGCTCCCATCGTATCCAACCTACAAGTCCTTTTTATCTGTTTTTTACTTTATAAGTGGCGGCTAGAGAGCAGGTCGATACCACCCGCGGCCGCAAATCAGCGTGGATCGCGGCTTTCCCAGCGAAGAGAGCTGCATCGTCGAGACGCGAAGTCGCGTCGGGATGGGCATGTTGACCATTGCCCTCGGAATCAAGGATTGAACCCCCAATTTCATCCAGTCTTGCGAGTATCCTGGCTCATCTTCGACCTCCCGCATTTGTTCTTGAAGAATTTGCCTGCCTTGCACAGGCCATGAGTCTTTCGAACGCTGTCGCGGGCAAGACCCCTTCTACGCCCACGAATTATCCCTCCCAGCCACAAGCTGGTCAGACAACTTCAAGCTTCGAATCGACTCGCCGTCCAAGCCAACCGGGCCCTTCTTCTGCACAGCCTATGCCCAGAAAGGGGCAGGCCTCTCGGAAGCAACACAAGAATCAACGCAGACCAAGTGCAGACCAAAGACTTCACGGCAATCCTGATGAGTATGACGCCATGGCCGAGATCCGAGCTGTCCGGAACCCATCGAGCAGGAGAGGCCAGACATCAATTACCCATCTCCTAAACTACACGACTCCCCGACACTTCCAAGACCACAGCTACCATCCGAGGTCATATCGCAGGAATCCCAGCTGGGGCCCTGGATCCGGTCGCCACGCTGCTGATAAATCCAGATATGTGCATTCCAATTACCGCTTTGTGGTCTCTCCGGAAGGGACCTACACAAAGCACGAGGTCGATGCCGACGTCTTTTTGGACTGGGCGGATGTTTTGCAGATTATTGCCTCCTCGGAATCACAAACAGCTTCTTGCCCAATTTGCCTCTCGGAGCCCGTCGCTCCGCGTATGGCCAAGTGTGGGCACATCTTTTGCCTCCCTTGCTTGATTCGATTTATGCACTCAAACAGCGATGATGCTAAATCGGGTAAAGGGGCTCGTTGGAAGAAGTGCCCCATCTGTGAGGACATAGTCTATCTCCACGAAGTTAAAGCTGTTCGGTTCTATGCCGGACAGGAAAGTCCATTGCCTCGGGTCGGAGATGATGTCGTCCTACGACTCATGGCAAGAAAAGCAAGCTCTACCTTGGCTCTGCCACGAGAGGGTGGTGCTGAGGTTCTCAACTCGGGAGATGATGTGCCGTGGCACTTTGCGGCAAATGTCTTGGACTATTCAAGAATCATGAAGGGTACTGCAGAGTACATGGCCACCCAATATGAAGAGGAGACAAAGGCTTTGATGAAACAGGAAAAGGAAGACGAGACGTTGTTTGGAGCGGACTCAGAGTGGACTCAGAAGGCCATCAAAGCTGTCCAAGCAGCAAAAGAAAGGACGGATGCTTTGAAAGCATTAAACAGCAGCGGCTCACATTCCGGTTCAAACTCGTCATCAGCGAAGCCATCCTCACATGCTGATTTCTATTTCTACAGCGCTCCGCCGCATTTGTATTTGTCACCGCTCGATATTAGGATCTTGAAAGCGAAATATGGGTCGTTTGCTGCTTTCCCGTCAACATTACTCCCCCGCGTTGAGCACATCTCTACAGGGCATGTGGTGGACGAGGTACTCCGAAAGCGGACAAAGTATCTGGCACATCTCCCGCAGGGCTGCATCATAAGCTTCTTGGAGTGTGACTGGACAGACATTGTGTCCGCCGAGATCTTGCAGTCATTTTCCGGTGATATTGAGAAGAGAAGGAAGAGGAATCGGGAGAAGGCTGCTCAAGAAGAGCGCGAGAGACTGCAGTCTGAACGTCTCGAAGCGGCGGCTCTCCGTGGCGCGCTCGGAGCCTCTGCTCGCAGGCACACAGCACTGGAACCTGTAGAAGAAGATAATTCTCCCGCTTTGGATATGTCTGAGTTCCAGCCACTGACCAGCCAATCTGGCACAACACCACCAGATCCACGACCAGGGTTTGAGACCCTGGCTTCCATGTCGACCAGCCCATCAACACAACGGACTGTCTGGGGTACGCGGGTGGTGCCAGTGTCTCCCGATTTGCAGCCTACCATGCCTGCTGTGGACGATGGGTGGCTCAAAGATGAAGACTTTTTAGGCACGGCTGAGCTCGCAATGCAGATTGAAGCAATTGAGGCTATGGAAGGCGTCAAGGCTGGCGATGCAAGTACCGCAGCTCCTATTGGTGAAGGCGGAGGCGGAGGCGGGGGCGGCAAGAAGAAGAAGAAGAAGCAGAAAATCACACTCATGAGTACAGGGGGTCGAAGAGGTCAATAAGACGTAGAAGGTATTGTTTTTTACACATGGTCGAATAGTTGCTTGCATGTGGAGTTTTCTGGCGCATGGGCAGAGCATTGCCTAATATAGTAAATATAAATGCAATTTGTGTTATATTCTGTATTATATTGTATTTTTTAAATTATGATATTTAATAGTAAAATTTACAAAAAAAAATACTCCGTACAATACAGGCAATGCTCTGCGCATGGGAGACCCAGCTCTTATGCCACTACGAGATAGGCATCCTCATAGACAAAGAAATAACTACGTTGGCATTTAAACTAGCAGCACTGGTTGATAGGTTACTGGCCAACTAATAAACCATGGTCTGGAAAGACCTGGCTGGTTCAGGATATTGGCTTGCATAAGTTAAATGGAGTTTGCAGCATTGTTTTTTAAATGGCGTTTCATTGTATCTACTCGAACTTGATTCGCATTAGAATTTTCCGCTTATTGATTTGTGCACCCGGATTAACGAAATACATTATATATACGATCAATACCTACTTAAGTAGGCAGTGTTGTTTGAAATGTCTTGGTATCAATATGACATGACTGGAGACTGGGCACCAATTGAACGGGTCTCAAGAACAAACTCATGTCGGCGCGACCCAAGTAGCTAGCTCCTGCGGGGCTCCCAGATTGCGGGCGGTGAGCCAAAATTTTTCCCAGATGGCAGAATAAGTCGCAGCATTTGCAACTTTGAGATTTAGCCATTTAGATATACTAGATTTCTATCGGCACCGCACCAAGGAACATATTCACGTTCCGGCAACCACATCACGGGCTTCTCCCCCCCGAGCATGGCTGCAGCCACTTCGCCGACTCTCACGTCGACGTCACACACGCTCACCGGTCAGCCCATCATGGCGCCCGCATCGGCCGCCAACTCCCATCCGGCCGTGGACATGGCCTCTTTCCTGGCCAACTTGCAACCCGAGAATCGACACGTTTTCCTCGAGCCGAGTGCCTCTCTCCCAAGCGACTCGCTCAGCATTGTCAAAGATACCCTGGAAGCATTTGCCGCTCAGGTTGGCGATGCGCAGCAGGAGCGGTTGAGAGAGAGCAGAAAGAGGAAGAGAGGAGGGGAAAAGGTTGCCGATGTCTTGAAACTGAGAAGAGTTTATGTAGATGGTTTTGAGACGGGCCAGGTGTGGCAGCAGGCGAAGAAAATTATTGGAGGCGTGTTGAAGTTTTCAGAGGGCGTGGTGGATGAGCTGGAGGAAAATGAGGAGGTTGTTGCGCTGGGGGTTGATTCTGAGGATGAAGAGGGCGAGATTAAGAGTTTGACGTTTGGTGAAGATGGGTTTGAGGTTGATTCTGATTCTGATGAGGGCGAGGATGGGGTGGGTGGCGTGGATGAAGAGGATGAAGAAGAGGATGAAGCTGAAGAAGACGAAGATGAGGATCTGGATGCAGGAATTGAAGATGGACTGGAGAGCGACGGAGATGACAAAGAGGAAGAGGTCAGGTCAGAAGATGAAGAAGACGACGAGGACGAGGCTGAGGAATATGTCGAGGACCCCAATGGTCTCAATGACGGCTTCTTCTCTATCGACGACTTCAACAAGCAGACCCAGTGGTTTGAGGACCAAGATGCCAGAGGAGACCCAAACACAGACCACGCCAGCGACGATGAAGACATAGATTGGACCGCGGATCCCATGGCCTCGTCAAACTCCGATGCCAAGTCATCAAAGAAGCACGGCAACGAGCCCATCGACGATGAGGAATCTGATGATGACGATGGCCCCACGTTCGGAGACATGGCACTTGATGCGCCAGAGGGCGCCAGTGATGACGAAGCCATGGCAGACGAAGACGAAGACGATGAGGCTGACGGTTTCAACGCCAACGGAGTCTACTACAAAGATTTCTTCGCACCCCCCTCAAGAAAGAACAAGACCGGCAAACCTCTGAAAAAGAAGGAGGCCCATCTCGCGCCTCAGCAACCCAACGAAGAAGACATGGAAAGGGCCATGGCCAACGTCAAACGCGATCTCTTTGATGATGAGTCAGAAAATGAAGACTCGGACGATGCCCTCTCCGACGTGTCAGCTGGTGACCCCAAATCAAGACGCTCAACCCACGAACGGCGGCAAGCAAAGCTCGCCGAAGAAATCCGCAAACTTGAAGCCGCATCCATAGCCAAGCGCGAATGGACGTTGTCGGGTGAAGCCGCGGCCGCGGACCGCCCCATGAACTCCCTTCTCGAAGAAGACGTGGACTTTGAGCACGTCGGCAAGCCCGTCCCCGTCATCACCCCAGAAATCAGCGAGTCCATCGAAGACCTCATCAAGCGGCGCATCCTGTCCCAAGAATTTGACGAGGTACTCCGCCGCCGCCCGGACACAGACGGCCTCCCCGCTCACACGCGCCGCGGCCTCGTCGAGCTCGACGACAGCAAGCCCAACAAGAGCCTCGCCGAGGTCTATGAGGAGGAGCACATCAAGAACACCAACCCAGACACCTACGTCAGCAAGTCGGACGAGAAGCTCCAAAAGGAGGAGAAGGAGATCGAGGCCATGTGGAAGGACGTGTCTGCGCGCCTCGACGCCCTCTCCAGCTGGCACTACAAGCCGAAGCCAGCAGCGCCCCAGCTCAGCGTCGTCTCGGACGTGGCCACGGTCGCCATGGAGGACGCCCAGCCCACGACGGCGCAGGGCGTCGCCGGCGAGTCGTCGCGCATGGCCCCGCAGGAGATCTACAAGGCCGGCGCGGACAAGGCCTCGGTCGCAAAGGGCGAGGTCGTCACCAAGGCCGGCCTGCCCGTCGCCCGGCAGGAAATGTCGCGCGAGGACAGAGCCCGCCGCCGCAGGCGCCACAAGGAACGCGTCCGCAAGGCCGGCGGCGCGGACGCCCAGAGCGACAAGAAGCTGGGCACGAGGGCCAAGATGCAGCGCGACACAGTGGCCGAGCTCAAGAAGGGCGGCGTCAAGGTCATCAATCGCAGGGGCGAGATTACCGACGTCGATGGGAACAAGGCCAAGCCCAAGAAGGCCGTTACCAGCGGCAGCTTCAAGTTGTAAATGGCGACGTGGGAAAATCCGGCAGGGAGTGCATGGCATTAGTGGCGTTTTGGGTAGACCTGTTACACTTTGCGTGGAATTCCTGTTCAGTATCATGCAGAGATGGTGTGTGCTAGTTATTTATACTCTGATTGTCGGGACAAGCAATCATTTTCACTGCTTGGTAGTTCTTCTTTTTTTCCACGACCAACTAGACTACGTTGTTGTAGTAAAGTATAAATGGGAACCTGACACATTCACGAGATGAGAAGACACGAGGAAATCCAGATGGATGATTCCGATAATGTTGGCCATTGTGCATACTATACAAATCCAATCACACGAAAACCACCGACCAGCCCAGGTCGACGCCACAACACCATAGGAGAAAAAAACCCAAGATCCCCTACTCCTTAACCTCTTCGGGCTCATCCTCCATCTTGGCCCTCTTAGGTGACTCCGCTGCCTCAGGCACCTCGTCCCCTGCTTTCCGCTTACCGTTGGTAGCTGGTGCAGCCGGCTCGGGCTTCTCTTCCTCCTTGGCCTTCTTCTTACGCACCAGGCCCGTCAAGTCGGTAGCCGTCTTCTTCGCCTCCTCTACACGAGCTTGCGTCTCGGTAGCCGATTCGCCCAGCGCGGCGCCGAAAAGTCCTCCCAGGGCGTTGGCTTGCGGCCCGCCGAGGAGGTCGGACGCGTCGATGGGGTCCTTTTTCAAATCAACCAGCTACAAAGGGTGTTGTTAGTGATGCTAAAGAAGCATGTTTTTTTGGGAGGGGTGGACGACAAGAACTTTGACATACCCGTTGTTCCATGTCAGCAATGACCTCCTTCATTTCAAAAATGGCCTTTCGCGCAAGGTCGTTGTCCTCGGGCGACGCCATAGTGGCCACCTCGACCTCCTTGTTTTGCATCTTGAGCTTGAAGCTCTTGATGGCGAGGCTCATCTCCTTGATGGCTTCGTCGCGGAGGGACTGGTCCATGGCTTCGCGCTTGGCATTTTTGCCTTCGTCATCGGACATGGTCACCGACGCAAACTCCAGTGCGAGCGAGAGCTTGTAGTGTGCCTCGGCGATGATTTCTGAATCTTCGGGGTAGAGTTCTAATTTGTAGTTGAGTGAGGTGCGGCCGTCTTCGATGGCGTTGGGATATCTACAACAAATCAGCGGATAGCCACACAGATGTTAAAAGGAGGATAAGGAAGACTGCTGACAACGCACCGCTCGTTTTCGAGAGAAATTTCAGCCAGGCAGTCGTGAGTATCGGCCAGGCGCTCCTTGATGTGTCGAACAGATGGGGGATCCTCAGCGGTTTCCTTGCCTTTGTCGGCTTCGTCATCCTTGCTCAATTGCTCCAACTGCTTTTCGTAGCAGACACGAGCGAGGTCGAGAATTTCAAACGCCGTTGCCAGGTCATCGTCCTCTTCCTCGGGTGCTTCCTCTTGTTGCTGTCATTTGTTAGAGTGTTCTCCAACGAGACAGTCTGCGGAGCTGGCGCTGCAATCCAACCTACCTCTTCGTCGGATGAGTCGTCAAAGTTCTCATCGCCGGTAAATTGGAACAGCGGCTTCTTCTCATCAGGCCCACCCTCCTTCGTCTTGTCCTCTTTCTTCTCGTGGGCGTCGCCAGCCTGTCCGGCAGCAATGGTGACGCCTTCTTGCGTCACCTTTTGGGCCTCGGTCAAAGCGGGTGCTGCTGGTTTCGAGCTGCTGTCGGCGGCGGCGGCGGCAGCAGCAGCATTCTTCTGGTCAGCTGCAGCTGGACCACCGAGAACATCGCTCTTGCTCTGCCCAACCTTGAACAAGCTACGGCCGTAGTGGAATAGGATCTCAGCGTTCTCGGGAGCCGTCTCCCCGTTCAGTTCGACCTGCATCACACTGGCGCGAGAGAAGATCTCGGCGGCATCTTCGTACTGCTTGTGGGCGTACAGCGCGGTGCCCTTGGCGCTCAAATCGGCAAGAGACACTCTTCTGGACTTGGGGTCCTCGTCGCGAGAGATGGGCGTCGCAACATCTTCCGTGGCAGCTGGGGTGCCTTCGGTGACGGTGGGAGTAGAGATGCCTTCATCGGCAGGTCGCGTCTCGGGAGCAGGTTCTGCCATGTCGAGTCGAGTGAGGTCACGCGATCGGCAGAATTGGGCAATGCAGCAGACTCAAATTGTGCCAATTCCTCGCGGCGCCAAGCTCTGTTGGCAGGGTGCGGCGTTTGATAGAAGTCCGGAGAGTGATGGGTTTTGAATGAGGGAGAGCTTTTGATGCGACACAAGCTGTGGTGGGACGAAGGTCGAAGGGTCTTCTGATCGTGTTAATTGAGCCAAAGACGATGCGGCAGTCTAAATTTGTTTGTTTGATTCGTCGATCTGGAGTAAACGGGCGGTGGCCCACAGCGGGAACGCCATGACAAGCAAAGCAACAGGCAGCCAAGCAAGCCCGGCTCCCTCGACATGCTGCTACCCTAGACGCGGCTAGGTTGCCAACAGTTCTCAACGTTCCCTCTTGTCATTGGATTGAACCACTGTTCTCATTTAGTCTTGTAATCTTTGAGCTCCTGAATTATCACCGTGTCTCCCCTGGTTGTTTCTGTGTCGGCTTTCTCAATTCGGTATCGGTCTCCACGCCTTGACAACCACGCAAGTAACCCACCGTGTTTAACCCGGAAGTAGGTTCGAGATGTAGGAAAGCACGATCATTTGTCTGTGTGGAAATTTCAATCCAAGAGAACTTGGTGCATTAATTACGGTGCAGGGCAAAGGTTACTCAACCAGGCCAAAATTAGTGTATAATTCGTAGTGGGCAAATATTGTCTGCCAGACCATAATTGAGCTTTTTTTCAGAGTCAGACAAACGTACCGTACTTCGGAAACCAATGCGCGGCGTTGCTATCCGTTGAAGCGAACTGTAACGACACTCTAATCACATCACTCCAAACGTCAAACGTGTTTCCCTTCTCTTTTTCTTCTTCTTCAAAATGGCGTTGGAATCAGCCCGATTCACCAGTAACCACAGAAAGCAGGCCTCAGGTTGGTGCATCACTTGTTACATGGGCATCGTGTGAAGTCTTACGCTTGTTCAAGGTGCAACCTATCACGACCTGGGCGTGGCTTGGTGCATCCCGTCGTCGAAACCAGCTGAAGACCAGTCGAGACCCCCGCGATCTAATTGCTGTTGCGTGAATCGACAGAGCTTTGGACGCCGCCGCGCCACCTCAGGCGCCGCAGTTATCTCTATCCGTGCAGTGCATAATATGTGTGCTGGCGGTGCAATGCACAGTGCTGAGCGACGGGCCGAAAAACCTGTTGAAGGCGTCTAGAATCGGCTGATTATTTCAAGAGGATGCGATAGATTTCTGTCGCGTTACATATAAATATAAGCGGCTGCCCATATGTTGTTTTCGTCTAATAAGTGCGTCTTCCAAGCACAAGGTTCATAGTGGCCCAATAGCACAACCACGCACCATACCTCACAATGAGCAACGACACTGAGAACCAGGTAAGCGTACGCCACTAGCGACACTACGCCGTTCATCCTACCCATTGTGGTTTCTCACCTACCGTCTTTAGCCTGCTTTCGGCCAGATTTGTTGGCTCGAAATCGCCGTGTATGATATTAAACGAGCCTCGAAACTATATTCTGAGGTTTTCGGCTGGAAGATCAATGAAGATGCAATGGCTATGGGCCACCACGGCATCGATGCCATGCATATGTTTGAGTCCCCCGGGAAGAAACTGGGTGGCGGGTTTCTCGTCATGCAGGAAGGTTATCAGATGACCCGATATGGAAGCCTTGAGAAGGAGGTTCTCCCTCCCCTGCCCACGTTTTGTGTCAAGGACTGTGACGAAACCTTGAAGCAAGTAGAGGGCCTAGGTGGTAGCACACAGTGGTAAGTTGCGTCAAGTATTTCCACGTTGTCGATATCCCCTTCTTTGCCAGCCATATGTCGTGCTAATAAGGCGAACAGCCCCAAGACGGCAATCGGCGGTGATATGGGCCATTATGCTCGGTTTAATGACTCGGAGGGAAACATTATTGGTATCTGGTCGCAGGAATGAACCTGGAGTGTATGAATTATGCGATGATCGAAAATGGGGATTTGGTGGGCAGTGTTGCCAGACGACGAGAATCGCGACCTGAATTGAGTCATTTCTTTTGTGTGACGTTGAATATCTGCAGATCTGGGTCGATACGAATACATTTATGGCAAGGTTTTGTTTGTACCAAATACGACAAGCTCCATTTCCTGTGAAGCCAGAGGGCGATCTTAAGAGTGTTTAGCACGCTTTTCTTAATGGAGGTTGTTGCGATGTCTGCGGCATGTCTGTCAACGACCGTCAGCTCACTCCTGGCTTCGCAACTTGATGTGAAACCGGATCAACTACAACGACTTTGCAAACTAAATTGAGCCCAGGTGAAACATTACTTGAACAACAACTATCGGCCACTCATGTGTAGCATCTCGACCGCATTGGCAGACTTTGACAATATATCCTTTGTGCATGCAATGGTTGATGGAATCGATCGTGGCCTGGAATTTCCACCGTGGTCCAGTCACACATGGTAGCGGCGCGCCGATTGCTCATTTTGAGACCGGCGTACTCCGTACGTACATCGGCAATTGATGTCAATCAGCTCCTGCTTATTCGTGGATGACTTGGCCAACTTAAGCTCCGTGCCGGGGGCGTTGTTTGAGTTTTGACTAGACGGTGCAATTTAGCTGTTGCGGAGGATTGTCCAATAAAGACAAACTCATTCAATAAGTGCTGAGGATCCTGCCCAGTAGTAGGCCTTTCGACAGTCGGGTCATCTGGGCCCGGTTCAGCCGACATCTCGACAGTTGGGTGTATCGGCTAATGGGCGTAAGAGCTGCACGACGACAGCTTGCTGATGAGGCTGTGTTGCTTTCAGCGACAATCTGGCTAGCCTGACTACGGCACGGGCACGGGCTAAAAGGCCCTGACCTGGCGGTATTTCCGGCCGCTGCCACGGCGGACCTGCCAGGCATGGTAAGGCCCGTCTGTCCAGCGATGCCAACATGATGCGGTTTCGACGGCCGTGGCGTGACGGGAGATTGTGCAATGGCGTACAATAGGCATTAATGCGAGAGAAGACGACACGGAGATCTGGAGCCTGGTCGCTACCAAGTCCCTCGCTCCTTCCCTAGTTCTCTCACAAAGGGCAATCGAGGAAGGCGTCTGGGCAGGACCGATGCTCCCCACGCGCCCATTTCAAGGTCTGCATCTGTCTGAGCTCCAGCGTTCGACTGTTGTACGGCCATTTCACACTTGACGCACTCCAACTGCGGAATGCTCCAAGTCGGGAAACTGGGGAAGGCCTTGCGCAGCTTGTTTATCGCGATTGAAAAGCACCTGGCCCCTCAGGAACTCGATACACCATTGGCGGAAGAATTAGCAAAAGCTGGGGGGCATTCATGCGCTAGCTCTACTACCCTCGTTGCGGACCGGCCGACAAGAGCAATTGATCTCCAAGCCTTCAAGCACTAACCACTGCCAGCATCCCAGAGTTGAGCGAGTTTGGTGCCCGGCCACAGAGACGAGGTGAACGAGCCCTGCAACCCGAGCTGCCAGCAAGTTAATCTGTCTTCCTCCAACGCGCCAAGTTACAACCCCACTGGCTCGCTGCCGCACTTGGGCTCTGAGTCTATTCCGAGCGCCCACCTTACCCAATTCCCAAGCAGCATATCCCGTGCATCTAGCAAAAGGGAAAAAAAATTATCAACCTCCAAACCATCCGGCGCCGTCACCTAGTGCTTCCCTGCAGGGCTGTGCGCGCATATTGCATTGTTCGCAAGTTCAATCTACTGCTCCGTCACATGCCTTCTCCCCCGAGTCATCGCAGAGGACGGGCAACACCAACTTGACAACACTTCCATGTCTAGACGCCATTGTTGCTTGCATGTCGCAGACACATCTGAATTAGCCCGTCGAATACATCTGCTCATTGGCATATTACCTCCTTTGGGGACCTCGTTTCTGGCCCAGCGCCGTCTACACACGACAAGCGGATCATAACGAAGCCTCGTCTCTCTCCCTTGGCCGATCAAAAGAATTGCTTGCCCATCTGCGAGTCTGTCGGCTGTAATACACCGCCGTTTCACCTCTCCACTGGCGACAGCGCCTATTTTCGACTCCAACCCTGTCTTTTCTTCCATTCTACAAGAACTACCCCGGTTTTGATAACACGGAATCGTACTTTTGGTGGCGGGACGAAATAGTTACTTGCCGGAGAGGTACCCCGTCTTGTTGCTGGCAGCTTCCACCAACCAGAGGCCAGGACGATACGGCCTCTCCCACAGCCTCTAGAACAGCCTCAGCATTTCTCCATTTGCTCCTCAGGACTGAGATTGCTGTCTAGTTGCGACAACGACACTTGTAATCCATCCCGACTGATAGACGAATCCGAGGCTTGTGCGCTAAAGACTTACACGACTTGATTGCTGATAGGGTTCGTTTCTTTACCCCTCACCAAGTCTTTTGTCCTCGTCTCAGCCATCTCTCGTTTCTTCCGACTACTGAGAACAAAGGATTCTAGTAGAAACGTCGAACTGGTACAAGGTGACAGAAAGCCCAGAAATATTGTCCGGCTCGATCTACTTGATACCCTCCCCCGCTCACACTACTCGGGACTGCTTCTTGCCGCAAGTGGCCATCCCCATCCAACCAACATTTCCAAAATCCAGCCACTTTCGCCCGTTGATCAATAGTCTTCCATGCAATAGGCATAATAAACCGGCATAGGAACCGAAACACCGTTGTGCCTTCTGGGATTCAATTTATCAACATTCGGGATAGCCTGCGCCGTATTCGGTTCCATCAGACGCTCATTATTTATTTCGTCACTGCTAGGCACTAACCACGGTGATGGGACAGCTTCCTTGGATGAGCGGTCGATAGTATTGATTTGATTTGTCCTAGGTGCAGGATCTGATTACTATTCCCCAGCTGAGTTAGGGCCTTCCAGCTCGTGTATTCTCGAGTTGCAGGAACCATGGCCGCTGTACAACAACTATTAGCAAGTCCATCGCCGAGCCCGGCGCTTCCTCCAACTGGATTCAATGGCGAAACAGACACCATGACTACAGATAGGGTCAGCCAAAGTCCCGTTATGCTCCATGGCCGCTCCTTGCGAGGGGCGCCGGAAGAGGGAGACAAGAGAATTGCTGTCATTATTTTTGGACAAGGCCAGGAACGAGTTGTATCCACCGTCGCGGAGGTACTTAGTAAACCTTTCAAGTTAGGAAGCTCGTTCAAGAACGTGACAAGGGACGACCACGGATTTGTGGTAGGGATTTCGGCAGTGGACGCCAAACGGGACATTGCAGACCGAAACAAGGAGTTGTTGGTTGCCGTCAATACTCACTGCGTAACTCTAGGAATGCCCCCTGATGAGCAGCTGTCGACGCATTGCGATTATGAGTTTTTATACATGGAATCGCCGTACTTCAGGCGCTACCTGTCTCGGTTCATCTCCTTCACCCTGGGTCAGATTAGCCATCACGAAGAGCTCATGGCTAAGCCGAGGACTTTGTTCATGTCGACCACATTCCCCGACGTTCGTGCTGCTTTGCCCAACCTCGATATCCTCACCGTGGGATCTGACGCTATTGAAATCCGGGTTGACCTCCTCCGCGAACCTCTTCCAAATGGCGGTTTCGCCGAGGTCCCTAGCCTAGGTTATGTTGGAGAACAAGTTATGCTGCTACGGGAGCGGACAGAGTTACCAATCATCTTTACAACTCGATGTACCAACGAAAATGGCAGGTTCCCGATGCATGACCCATCACTCTACCATCGGTACCTGTACAAAGCTATCCAATGGGGAATCGAGTATATCGATATTGAGCTGTGGCTTCCGGAGGATATTCGTCGGGATCTGTGGCAGCGGAAAGGGAACTCACGCATCATGTCGGCATTTCACGACTTCTCGGGGACTTTCAAGTGGCCGTCGCAGTACGCACTGGACGTTTTTCAACGGTCTTGTCCTTATGCAGATATTGTCAAGATGATTGCCATTATCAACGAGCATAATGAGAATTTCGAATTGGAATATTTTCGCTCCAAGATACGGTCGGAATATCCCAATGCACCACCTCTATCTGCTGTAAATATGGGAGGGACGGGCCAGTTTTCTAGAACCCAAAACAAAGTCTTCACACCCATCACACATCCTCTTCTTCCCCTAATTGCAGCCCCAGGTCAAATGAGCACTTCTGAAATTCACCGAGCATTATGTCAACTGGGACAATTGCCGATGAAGAATATATACGGGGTCAGCTCTTCCTTGAACCGAAGCGCTGTTCCGCAGGCACCGTTTTATGAGAAGTGCTTCAATGAATTGGGTCTACCTCATCGGTTCAGCATTATTGAACGACAGCCCAACAACTTTGCCGGCATGGAAGCCTGGTGTAATCAGAGAGACTTTGGAGGCGCATATCTTGATCCTGGCATCTCTGTCCAGACATTGTCCAAGCATAACAAATTCTTTGCTAGGCTGAATAACGGCCAAGGACCGACGCTCACCGAAGCAGCTCGGGCAATTGGAATCGCTGACACCATCGTTGCCAGATCTGGCTCCTCCGCCACGCCAACACCACCATCCATGCCATCCAGTCCTCATAGTGGACAAGGCTCGGCGGTGTCACATGCGCAAACTGGATCAGCAACAACCACCTCGTCGCTCATTTTTGACAATGCTGGTTGGAGAGGCATTATGCATACTCTTATAAGAGATCTTGCCCCCTCAGCTTATTTTGACAGATCAGCTGTTGTTCTTGCGTCCTCTTCTGATGACGCCGCCCCGGTATTTTATGCGTTGAAAGCGTTGAAGATTGCCAAGATCTACACCGTTGGCTTCCGGACCCCTGCTGCCCTCGCTCGCCATGCTCCTCCGATTGAGCAGTTCATTAGCTTGGAGAGCCTTCAGCGTGCGAGATCCGTGGCAGACGACCGGGCTCCGTTCGTAATCGTCTCAGCTCTGGGCTCGGACAAGGGAAATCTCGTGAGCATGATGCTTCGTGCGTTTGCCGCTGCTGGCCGAGACGGTGCGCCAAACGTCAACAAGGTCTTTCTGAACCTGGCCGACGTGGCAGCTCGCAAGACAAACGACCCTCACGAGACGGCAGAAAAGAGCGGATTTGCGTCTTATGGTGCCGCAGATGTGGCGGCATTCACCATTGTTGAAAGTTTAAGATTGCTCGTTGGTCAAAATGTGCCATATAGCTTTGTGAGACTGGCAAGTGGCAGACATCATCTCTTTTGATAGTTTGTTTCAACGTTCTCATTACCGGAGGCACATGAGGTTGATCAAAAGCCGAGGATATCAGCCAGCACGTGGAATTACCTTCGTCTGCGACACTTCTTTTGTTGTATTGGATCGTATGAGAGCATGATTTGTCACCTGCTTCAGTCGTTGAATTCTGATAGCGCTTTTGCTGACATACACACACCCCTACATGACCTAGAATAGTGAGTGGCGAGTTGTGGATGTCATGAGCTCTGCATTGGCTTACAAAGAACGTCGACCTATAGAAAGAGAGCCAGGACCAATATAGTATATCTGAGATGCCGAGTCTCGCGGGGGTGTGCATCGACCTACATCCTTAGCTGTGCGCCCCTCTACATATGGTCTTCGGGTTGAATTGCTATTTTGGTGCGTTTTGCTTATTGGGACCGAAACCATACAGTTTGGTTCCTTAGAGAAGCGCTTGTCTCCTTGCTGGTGCTTGAAATTTTGGCTAGCGTGTTATATTGAGGGTGTATTGAGGGTGCAGTTGACCTTTCAAGATCTGACGAAAGTGGAGTTTTACGGACCGACTACTAGGCGACGGAGGGTCGCAACGGGACAGGGACCATGTTCACGGAGGGGCGCTTTTGTCCAGCAGTTCCCAAGCGGAACGGGGGAGGGTGGTGGGATTTTGTCTTTGGTTATCCACAGATGTGAACTATTTTGGAGGGGTTTCTTCTAAACCAGGCGGGAGACCTGTTTCTTGGATGGTAGGCGGATTTTCAGAGACGGTGTAGTTGAAACACACGAAAGGGTATAAATGCGATGGGGAAGTACGAGATGAATACTATTTCCATATCCTTGAGCACGAAGCCTTATTCCTAACCAAGTTTGGTGTTGGCCAATTGTATATCCTGCGCCGGCACTAGGTAGTAAATAAACTACCTACCTAGGTAGGTATGCAATGTGTTGCAAGATTTGCGGAGTTTGGGCAATATGCCTTTGAACTAGGTAAGTCATACAATACAATGTTTCCAGGATGGGCAAGAGACTGAGCTTGACGGTTTATTACCAACCAGCAACCCTGCAGAGATGGGCTCTCGATGCCAAGTTGGGAGGCAGGCGATTTCAGGATCAACGAATCGATCCGCCAGTGACCAATTCTGAGCCTTGAGTGGTGGAGTTGACTGATGAAAGAGGGACCTTTTGCCAAATGCAGCTGCTATTCACTCGATGTCGGTGAGTCCTGGTCGTTCAACCCTGCTACCTTCAGCTGACTGACAGCCGGTAGGGAAACATTGATGTCAGGGTTGCCCGCCACCAGCCCTGGTCTCCGCGGATGGTACAGAATACACCGTACAGAGTCCCGGAGTAGGGGATTGGAGGTTCGGGACAGGGCGAGACAAGAAGGACTGCCACCAATCTCCCGGAAGAGGACTCGGCAGGCCCTTGGACGACGTTGACCTATTCTTATTAATACTATTTTCCCTGCCCGCGCTGACTTGCCATGCGACCTGGTGCTGGCCCGCATGTGGCCCTTGCAGCTGCGTCTCGCGTCTGACGATTCTTCAGCAAGCCCACCGAGCTGAGCGTGATACATGTCTGAATAGTAATTCGCTCGCAGATACTGGTGGGGTCACGGTAAGCTGTGTCCGAAATTCCTGGTGTCGGTGGAGAGTGGTTGTCTGTGAGCTTTGTATCCCGTCGCTTGACGAACCAGAACTGTCCACTGACCCTGGGGACATGCAGCGGTAGCCACTCTGTCAGCAGGCTGGGGCTTATGTTTGTGCCTGGCTCGTGGGAGGCGGCTCCGTAAGTAGGCAAGCTTTTTTTGTGGCCATGTGCCTCTTGGTGCTGCGAGGTAAGACCGAATCTCATTCTCACTCGACGAAATTGCTGCGTCAGCAGCTTACAAGAGGCAATTTTTGATGCAACAAGATGTCATCCATGATGAAAATGTGGCTTTGTTGATGCTTATTAAAACTTTGCTTTGGTGACAAGGAGCACACAGTCGGTGTTTTTCAAGATGGCCGGACAAAAAAGCATGTGGAAGCGTTCCGGCCATGGTCTCACATGACTGGCCGGGGCTCTTTCTTCAGTAAGACCCCCACTCTCCTCTCCACATAATTCCATCTGCCGCAGAAAAAGCCCCGTTTCCGGCGCAGCCAATGTGCTAGTACTACTACGTAGTACTTGACTTGTTCTAGTTGTGTGGCTGTCTAGCAGGCCAGTTCGGATGAAGGCAGAGGTTGACTTTCCGCAAGAGTTGGTGCTATGAGTGTGCCCGTGCCCGACTCTGTCCATTCAATGTTCGGACATTGCCCAATAAGAGATGTACAGACGCAAGACATCAGCTAGATTTGACGATGATCTCGTTGCACCCTGATGCGATAAAAAACACTAGACGAATGGGATCTGTGGAGGGCCCTGGCCAGGGCATTGCAAGGAAAAGATCAACAGGCATGGCACGTGGAAGACGCAAGTGTTGGTGCTAGGCTGAGTCTTGAGGGGAGCCATTGAATGGCATTGAATGTGTGAGGGCAGGATGCAGATGGTCTCGTCTCATTGTAATAGGTCGGTTTCCCTTGAGGGATCTAAGGGTGTCGGTTTTGGGGCCACAAACGGCCCGGCCGCGGGTTGTGGTGTGTGGATATTGGCCATGTCTGATTCCAATGTGTTTGTTCGTGTCATCAATTTGCTGACCAGGATGGAGGACAGAGGTTGAAGTCAGAGGGGCCCGGCATGGCACCTTCCTTCCCGAATCCCGATGCCAAGTCGAGTGCGTGGAAACCCAGAAAGAGGTAGATGCCTTTTGGCTCCTTCCTCCTTTTCTCTTCTCACGCTGCGGCTAGGTTGAAAAGGGAGCGGGAGATGGAGAATTGGAGGTACCTACTCCGTACAAGTGCACACTTGGCCATCACTTGAGTAGTAGTACTCCGTACCTCAAACCCAGGTACCTGGGTATTAGATACGGCGGCAGCCAAGGCAGTGCTCTATTGGGCCTTGACTTTGTCGGTACCTAGGAATCTTGGTAGCTGACTGATTCGTCGGCAGTAATCACTTTAAGTTTGGAAACGCAAGTACCGGCGTCACGGCTGTCGCTAGAGGCATGTGGTGGTGATTACGGGCACGGGGCATGTCAGCCGACTACGGAGTACCCAGCAGGTACCTGGATACTTTCCTCTGACATTGATGGGCATGCAGCATTGGAATTGGAAAGTATTGTACGGAGAAAGGACCAGTCTTGTCGATTTTTTGACTGTCCATGCACTTCCCTATTCTACCAGACTGTTTTACTCCCCAGACCCTCCAAGCTAAACCGGCTTCTTGGCCTCGAACCCCAACATTCGCACCAGACATTGAACCCTGTCCCGCACCCCCGTCTTCACCTCCACCTTCCTTGGTACCTTGGTTGTCTGCTGCAGAACAAAACGAACCGTCAAACACAGTCAGTCGGCTCGTCCGATGCCACATCTTGTCGCTATCTGCCGGGTATCGTGAGCCCTCTCAATTGTGGCACGACCGGCGCCAGCGCCGAAGCAAGGCAGGGTATCCTTCCAATCTCACTCTGGCGCCTCGTCACCGGTCCGCTGGGCTTTTCCTGTACAACAAACACAACATATATGTTCGACTAGCATCGTAACTCTAATCTGGTCACCACAGCCACTGTGACCCCATATTATCCTCCGCGGCGCCGACTGCGCTGTTGTTGCTCCAAGCTCAGTTTGGCCTTGACCGTCCCCGTTGCACTTGAGGGGTGACCAGCCGCAGAAACCATCGACCTCAAGTCGAGCGCGCAAATCTTCCTCACCACCAGTTGCAGCGGATTCCTTCACGGCGCAATCCCTCAAGGAACCCGAGCTCGCCTCACGAGTCCGACCCTCTCGTGCCCAAGCCTGTTTGCATTTGTTTGCCATCGATCCAGAGCGCTCCACCCACGAGGCGATCAACACCACGACGACAGCCGATACGCGGGGCGGCCATCTTCGCTGCCTCCTTGTGTGATGCAATGAATTCATCTTCACTCCCGTTGCCAGCGGCCAATTCTGGTGCTCCTATTGCTATCCCCAGACAGCAGGTTAGCATTGAGCGTCTTCCAACAAGGCGACAAGGCAACGAGCCACGCGAGTCGATGAACTGCAAGTCCTGCCGAAAGCGAAAGGTGCGATGTTCTTTTTACACTTCACAATTCAAACTCGACGTCTGGCTCCGAAGAATCCATGCCACTGATCAATGTTTGTTGACTGCGGTGTCACCAGATTAAATGCAACCGTATGCGACCGTCGTGCGAAGCATGCCAGGTCTTCCAGTGTCCATGCATTTATGGTATGTCACCACTCATCTCATTGAAAGCCGCCAGTTTTCTTGATAGCCTCTGGCTCAAGAGTGGACCACCGAAAGTGCATCTTTGAACAAAACCTGTTTGCTCACTATTTCTGCTACAGATGCTGTCCCCAAGAAGCGTGGGCCGAAAACAGACGTGCTTGAAGCTTTGCTGAAACGGGTCGATGGACTGGAGGCGAAGCTGAAGGAGAAGAATTCCGAGGGAGACACTGTGGAAGTTGAGGAAGAGGAGGACACTGACGTTGCGGAGCCGGCCCCGAAGAGACTTGCAACCGAGGCAAGCAAATCTTCCGATGAAGATGGCCTCAAGACCGTCACGGACCATGAACCGACCGCTAGGCGGGACATCAATCGTCGTTGCTCTCCGAATACTTTGAGCTTATATCCTCATAGTGACAATCCGGCCTCTCCGGTGGAAACAGACGCCTATCTTCACACATACTTCGCACGATTCCACGGCAAGCCATATTACATCCTGGATGAAGCATCCGTCCGCCATCGGATACAGTCGAACCAGTTACCGGATAGCGTCGCGTTCGCTATCTGGTCTGTAGCATCAAGGTAAGTAGCTAGAATTCGAGATGGTGATTTTGAAATCCTCATTGCTGACTGTTGGTGCAGGCACACTCCGCATTCCGGAGGGACCCAGGCCGCTCTTCAATTAAGCCAAGACTATGCACAGCGGGCAAGGCGATGTATTGACACAGATGATCTATCAATAGATTGCTTGCAGGCGTCATTGCTCTTGGTTCTGGCATTCATGGCATCTGGTCACAGCAAGAAGGCCTACATGTTGATGTGTAGGTCATTCAACTGTCTTTTTTTGCTCAAACTAGCGGTCTCAACTAATGCAAACTCAGCATCGGCAATCGCCATGGCTATGGCACTGGAGCTTCATCGTGAAATCGATGCCCACGCGCACGTTACACCAGTCGAACGTGAGTTACGCCGACGACTTTTCTGGACGTGCTACTTATTGGATCGCTACGCGTCCTGCGGATCGAGGCGACCATCTTTAATCAGTGACAACTCAGTGGCTCTACGGCTACCATCGTGGTGTCCTAGCCCTTCATCCCTGGCGGTCGACGGGGAGTTTTTCCAACAGGGCTCTAACCTCCAATATTACCAAGGCAGCGGAAAGAAGTCACAAGGTAGTACTGGATTGCTCATTGACATCACGCGTATCCTTGGCATTACAAACAGATATTTAGCTGCTGGGGGTGTAAAAGGCGACTCTCACTTCCCCTGGCATTCATTATCGACTCTGTCAAAAATTCGTCAAGAGCTTGACTTTTGGGCATCCGGCGCTGGCCCTGTGTTCTCCGGCCTTCAAGCTCTCTTTCACCAAACAGAAGCCTCAATAGTGTTTTTGAGCAAGCTGATATATCATCTAATACATTGTCTAGTGTACCGGCCGTTCCTCCCAGTTGACCTAGCAGAGCTGGCTGGCAATGGGCAACATCAGTCTTGGCAGATCGAGGCGACCAACATGTGCTTTTTGCATGCGAACGCTATTGGTGAACTGATAGACGCAGCGAGGCATGCAGGTACTGTAGAATGGCCAGCAATTGTTGGCTATTGTATTTGTACTGCGGCAACAGTGCATATACACGGAGCTCACTACTCCAACCCTAGTGCCTACGGGGGAGACGTGAACATCTTTAGCGCATCGTCGAACTTGCTTTCTCGGGAAATGAAACACCTTAGCGATCTACACTTCGCATGGGCCAATATTCGACACCAGAGCGATACATTGCAAGAGATTTACAGTGCTCATGGAGAGCTGGTCAAGGCCATGGTAGCCAGCTCTATGCGTTATACTCCAGGGTTTCACCTTGAGGAATTTTTCGAAAGATATTCCAACATTGGAGGGCCAGGAGGAAAATCGTATCGGTTTGACCCAGCACACCTAAGCATGTCGGATATTGTTATAGATTTTACCGCCGATCGATGCAGCGAGTCACCAGTAGCCCGCGAAACTGAACGATATAGCCATAAACGCAAAAATACTCTATCAACCAAGAAAGGGAATGACGAAGGAACCAATGCCGGGTACGACCAGGTTGCAGCAATGAGCCAACCGACGGGAGCAGGCAACGTGCCATACTCGATACATATGACACAACTCCCGTCCCATGTTTCTAATGGGCACATGCAGCAACAAGTGTCCAGGCCACCGGATGCACACATAAAATCTAGTGGCACTCCATTCGATGCAGCGCAAACCATCCATGGGTATACCATGCCGCCAGATAACTCGGCAAACAATTCTGGCCAGGGCATAGTGCCTATGAGCGGGACAAGATTTAGCCCAGCGTACAGTTATGCCATGGGTTCCAATGTCATGAATAGTCAGAACAATGTGAACGACGGCAATACAAATTTCGATGCTATGTTTGGAGCACTACCGACAAACACATTCAGCAGCGCTGCTGGTTGGCAGGGCGAAGATGGTCAGCAGCACAACAAGATGAATATTCCCACAAGTGGCGTGGCACCAAGCCCCGGAACCAAGAGTTCTAGCGGAAGCACAGGGACGGGACACAGCGAGGAAAAAGACCCCTTTCTCAGCCTATTGGAGCAACTTGCAGAAGATGAGCAACGTTTTAACGGCGGGGGAGCCGACTTGGATTTCTTCCTGACTAGCAACAACATCGGTGCCTAGCGTGACGTCCGGGGGTACCCAAGGAAGCGCTTTGCAACGCTTATTGAAATACTATAATGACTATCTGTATGATGGCTATGCGGGACGGCTGAGCGATTTGGACCACGGCGGCGGTATTGGATATATTTAAGCCGTCAAATGGAGATACTGTATGATATAATAGACCAACACATATACTGTACCATGTATCTTTTTGAGTTGACACCAGAGTCGATCCCCGTTTCTGCTTTTACCGATGGGGATTATGCAATCGCCGGGAATTTTATAAAACCAAGACGTATACATGACGCAGAAACACAGCCCGATTCCTGGCTCACTGTACTTCGAACGGCTCAAGCAGCCGACAGAACTAGGCGTATGCAACGAACGTCTGTGCATATCTCTGCCTGCTCTGCTGCAACAGCACAAGGGATAATTTGCTTGGGAATACCTTGTCAGTACACGGCCGAGCGGGACACGCAAGAGACAATGAACCGTCGTTTTCATACCAGCCGGTCAGGTGTGAAATGCGCGAGTTCCGAGACCCGTCCCTCTTTCTGCTTGTTACTGCAGATTTCTTGTTCGACTTTGACAGAAGGGCATGTGATGATTGGCTTGCAGTCTACAATCCACTAGCTACTGGACACTGACTACGGCTCGATTTACGTCGGTGGTGATCATCGGCTGGAAGCATGTCTCGCCGGTTATACCAGGCGCTCAAACCGGCCTTTATACGAAGTGCGGTTGGTAAGGATATAGTCGGTTAGGATTCCGTGCAAGATTTGCCTCGGTCAACGTTCAAATAGATGACGTGCAATTTGGAGTTTCAGTTTAAAACGCTTCATGGGAAAGATCCATATGACTACCGCAATCAATTAATTCCAAGATTATGAGAGCTATCGAATGCCTAGCGAATGCATTTCTAGTGTATCCTGGTGTGTATTCAAACGACAAAGTATCCCTAACGCCTTTCGAAACTCAAGTCGCTCATCATTCCGTATTGCACTTACACATGTCGACAAGTAGGATCTCATGCACTAACACTATCCTTGCGCTGGTGATCCGGCGGCGCAGAGATTCCTTCCGCGTCCTTGGCGTCAACGTCTTCGATGTGAGCAACTCCCTCGATGTCGTAATTGCTGTCAGGCACATGGTACAGAACCAATGCGCAAAGCGGGAGAGCAACCATGGTCAGGAGCCACGAGACGAGGACTTCACCAAGATATGGGGTCTGCAAACGCATGTCAGCACTTGACAACTCTTATGTGACAATCATTCATGTGCATACCATGACGGCATCCATCCCAAACGAGACGGCGGCACCGGCGGACTGGATTCCCTTGTAATATCCAGCCATACGAGCAAGCTTGAAAGGATCGTTACTGATGGACGACATGGTATAGTATGCCAAGCCTTGGTAGGCAGCATCGACGACATAGTCTAGCGTTGCAGTCAGTTAACCAAGCTTGTACTTGCGTCAAGGTGAAATCTTACAGCCAAACAGCAAAACAATGGGACCGGCAGCCACTCCCACGGTCCAATCCCAAGGAACTTTTTCGTCGTCAACAAACACTTGCCCTCGGACAAATCTGGTTTGGAAAGCTACACCGGAAGCCCAAACAAGGCAGATCAAAAATGTGACAAAGGCACAAGACCAGAGAGCACGCTTCCGTCGGTTGAAAGGCAGGTTGTCGGTAACAAAGCCGATGATGATCGAGCCGATGATGGACCCGAGACCGGTCAGGAGGGCAACCAAGGCACGTGTGCGGCCATTAAATAGAAAAGCGGTAATGGCCCCCTGGTATGCGTAGAAGTAGTTGGAAGAGAAGAACATGGGGAAGAGGGCAATCATGCGCCAGTCCTTGAACATGCGAAGAAACTCCATAAATTCCTGCTTGGGTGTGAGAGAGGCTGCGATCCGCACAATGGTGCCATCACCTCGGACTACCGCCTGAGGAGGCAGGACCAGCCAGCTGGTGGCGATGGAAGTCAACATAATGATCATAAAGGCGACATAGACTCCATTAGAAACACCAGGCATGGTGCTATTGAATTCGATTCCAAGGGCGATGGCGGCTCCAATCAGGGTTCCCGTTTGGAATAGCGACCAGAAGATGGTAAAGGCTCGCCCCTTGTCCTTTTCGAGAGGGTACGACATCATGATGGCACCTTGGGCTGCCCAGAAGAGAGCGGCCGAGACGCCCAATATACCTCCAGCAAGGATGAGAAACCATCGCGTGCCATTGAGTTGGAAGCACCACAGCGAGCCGAGATACAAGGCGTAGCCTGTAGTACCAATGGACATGGTCAATCGAGGTCCGAGAATATTCTAATGTGACTCATGTGAGCAAATAAAGCTGCCAGGAGGCTCAGCTGGCACAAGGAGAGAATTAAGGCTCACGTACGTTGATACTTCCACCAAAGAAGCCACCCAGGAAGAACATGCCGTACAAGACACTGTTGGCGATATCGCTGAGTTGGACATCTTGGGTTCCACCAGCACCCAGGTTGCTAATTGCACTGAACATGCCGACAGAGCAAAAGGCGACAAAGCCTACAATGGACACCTGGGTCCATGGCGAGTTGTCTGCGCGCCATTCAACGTTAGCCAAGAACGCGGCTCTCTTATCCACCATGGTCCAGCGCAAAGCTGTCGCATGTCCTCGAGTTGGATGCTCGACGAATGCCTGGACAAGTTCCTGTCGTCATCTACTTACAGCGCAGGCCGCCGACCTGAAGAGTGGCGAGATTGACCATGGTGAACTGGTGACAGGGTTTTTGCCGTGTCGGAGAAGCTGTCAAGGGGCAGTTGATCTGCAAACAGAAGGAAAATCACGGAATAATGAAGCTTGAAAGCTGAAAGCTTCAGAAGGCCCACGCCACAGACCAGATGCGATCAGATCAGAATTGCCGCGGAACCGTCATGGACCTGTAGTGAGTGCAAAATGAAGCTTCTGTGAACAGGCACGATCCCTCGACACACGAGATCAGGTCGGGGGGCTGGCCTTGATAAATAAATTAATATTGAATGGAATAAATTAAAAGGAGACCCGGTATGGAGTCAACTGGTACTACCAAGTATGGAGTACCCCCGTAAAGCATTGGCCAAGAGGAAGGAGCGTCGGGACCCATGCATGCCATGACAGCATTGTGCGACAGCACTCCGTTCTACAACATCCCGCGCATGGCAGAAAAAGCACGAGCCAAACCTGCCACATCACACAAACCCAAGAGGCAAGCCAACAGCGCCCCAACCGTCCATGCGTCCATTCATTCCATCCAGTCCCTTCGGCCGCCAGAAGCAACTGGGTCCGGGGTATGATGGGACCATGCCCAGGAAAATGGGTCCTTCCCCGTATGAACAACAACGCAGCCAGACAATCACGAGTTTTGTAACGCCACCTGGAGCGAGTGCCGTACGATGGCAGCAGGACACGCCGAACGACTTTGGGAGACTGGTCTCTCATCATCCATACTCCCCGTACTGTACGCCTCATCGGGCGCTGCGAATATGCTCGGGCTGAGCCGCGACACGCCAAGGGCCACCACGAACTGCTCGCATCCATCACCTGTCAGTGTCGAATCAATACATGTAGGACATTGGCCTCGTGAGCGGCTGCGAGCACAACCAATCTGTGGCACGCGAGGCTTGCGGGGAGTCCGGGCACAGAGGTCGTTGGGTACGGTAACGCCAGCCACGAGAACCGAGTACTAGAACAGCCTAAAAGTTCACCGTGGCTGGCTCCGCTCCAATGTTGCATCCATTGTCGGTTCTTCATCTGCCCGAGCCTCTGCAAGCCTCTGCAAGCCTCCGCGAACAAATCATGGTCGGGAGCATCTCGCTAGCTGCCAAACGTGTCGAAATGGCGCTCGACCCCTTCTCGAGCCATGATTCGAAAAGAAGCCAGCATGGTCCAAAATTAGTCTACTTGCCATTTGGCCACCAACCGTGTTGAGATGGCAACCAACCCGACTCGTGCTCCCAGTGGCATCTGCGACATGCTCTCATCGAGTCTCGCCCATGGTGGAGCTGCTGAATGCGCAAGCAAGCGCCAATGCGTGTCTCGGGCTCTCACTGCGTGTCTCGGGCTCTTGGCTCCTCATCTCATGGCTCCCACACCTCCACGGGGCCCCAAATCAATGTTTGAGCACCGCCAAGACCCAATTGACACTCCGCAACTCGTCGCTGGTTATCGCCTTGTCAGCTTACGGGGCAAAGAAAGCCACCTGACTGTTACGGCCAACCATGCATCGGGCTTGAGGCTTGTTTCTCGCGCCGTTGGTAACCCACGATCCCTATCAGATTTAACGTTACAGTCGGCTTAAGCCTCAATGTCTGTTCCCTTTATCTTTCCGCGGTCTGTATGCATGCGCTTTCGAGTAGATGTGCGCATGTGCCGCTGACTGCTACCATATTAGGAAGTTCAAGCCCCAGAAGAGTTCAGCCTGTTTCATCGTTATATGATTCTCGAGCCCTAAGCGATATCTGGCGGATCCATCCTCTCTGTTTCAACTTGTAACTATTTGGGTGACGCTGTTGATGTTCCCTTTGAGTATATGCGACCCGAGTTACACAGCACCCTTCTACGTGAATTCATGCATGCAGGCAGAGTTATAACAACGGCCCTCCAAGACGGCTCGAAGCCCAAAGTAGAAAATGTAACCTTGCAGCAAAAATAAGCCTTTTAGCTTCAGGGGTATGATGTTTCAATGGCAAGGATCCCCCGCCCCCAAAGCGCCGCCAACGCTACGTGACCATTTAAATGTTGGTCACTCGAAACATTGCTGTCAGCGCCGTTGCATATCTCGATTCAATAGAGGTTCAACTGTTGCTGCTCAGTATCTCAAAGTTGACTGGGCCCAACTGCGAAAATCGCATCACGCGACCAGACAGGAGGTGCATTTTCTGCGCCTGCAAGCAGTGCCCGTTACGAAGAACGTGAAATACGGCGTACTTTCAATTCTTTCTACGTATGAAAGCCACAGGATGCTCGCTATTATATTACGCCCAACTCATATCATTATCCACCGTTCTGTTCATAGGGCTACTGACCTGGAGACCCAAAGACACAAAACTGGATAATGCTTCTCGTCGATATAACAGCACCATCAAAGTCATCCTCGGAGCCATCAGAGTCAAATGCTGTCGAGACTTGGAGGCAGCACTACTATGTACTCAATTCCGGAAATCCACGATGGCTGAGCGTACACAGCTGATGAGGACCCGAGTTCTTGCGGTTGACGGGCTGCATGCAGATGTACATTGGAGCAGGACGCAAACCTACAAATCACAGAATCTGCGCAGTTCGACGGCAAATAACCCCGGCAAATAACCCCAATACTCTCCCCGGCCGGATAGTGCGCAAACTATCTGTACTAAACTGGCCCAAGCGCGGTGAAATTAAGTGCCTAAACGCCTGTGGTTGTAGATAAAATGGTAGTACTAGGTCGTCGATACAAGTATACTGATCTGATACTAGCCTGTTTTGGTATTTGCTTGTCGCATACACACGTGATTGGGCAGGATTTGTCGCCTGATACCTGATAACCGGCCCCTCTACTTCAGCCAATGGGATATGCTCCCTGCCTTCACATTGATACTTCAAACGGCGACGTCAAAGGATGTTGAGACGTTCAACATGCGCTCGGAACATCCCATGTTTGTCAGCACACGCGAGGGTGGTTTCACGATGGTCGATTCCTCTGGAAACGGACATTTATGCATCCACGATTGACGCCGAGCCTCTCCATCGCTACAAATGGGGAGGCTATCACCCTGTCCAACTTGGAACCCTCTTGCATAGCGGAAGATATAAGATACTACACAAATTAGGATGGGGGGGTTATTCGACGGTATGGGCAGCAAGAGATTGCAGGTAACATGTCCCGCCTGGTATAATGGTTCTCATGAAATCTGTCACTTATTCTGCGGTTAGAGCGAATAGCTATGTCGCCATCAAAATCTCAATATCTGAGCAAAGAAACGATGAACACAATCAAGAATATCGCGTCATGAAGACACTAGCATCACTCAAAAGAAATTCTCATCTTATGGGGATGCTTGATGAATTCGACGTTGAAGGTCCTAACGGGAAGCATAAATGTCTGGTTCTCGAGCTGCTAGGGCCCTGTATCCCTGATGTTATTGAATCGCGGTATTCAGATGGAAGGCTTCCTGGGCATCTCGCCAAGGCCATTGCGGAACAATCTCTACGCGGTCTAAAAATACTACATGAACAAGGCATTGCCCATGGGGGTAAGTTGTGTCGGTATTATTTGCATTTCAAAGAAGGCTAATCATCGCTATTAATTAGACCTCCATGTCCGAAATTTGGCTGTGGTGCTGCCATTTCCCGTGGACGACATGTCAGAAGAGGTTTTTATTGACATGCTTGGCAAGCCAAAAGTCGGGCCTGTACAGAAGGTAGGCGGCCAACCTGTTGAACCCGGCATGCCGCAGCACATTGTCCAATCTGCCACATATTCAAAGATACCTCTAAAGTCCTTCAGGGGTATTAAAATTGTCGATTTTGGCCAGTCTTTTCTTCCGGCGTTCGCGCCCCGGACTCTGCGCACCCCGTTGGCAGTTCGTCCACCAGAAGTCTTGTTTAGCGATCCGCTAGATTTTCGCGTTGATTTGTGGAGTATGGGCTGCATGGTTAGTTGGAAACCGTGTCATTATAACGTTGTGAATCAAGTGTTGACGACTGTACCAGCTTTTTGAGCTTTTTGTTGGCCAACCCCCTTTTGATGGACCGCCCAGCACGCCGGAGGTCTTGGTGGAACAGATGAGGGAAACGGCAGGTGATCAGCTACCCGAGCGCTGGAGAGGTTTGATCAAGGAGGGCTCTGAGACGAACACGGCTGGATCATCGCTACAGAGTTGGTTAGAGGAGACGTACTTTGACAATGAGCGCAAGAGCGACTTGACAATTGAGGATATAAGGGTCCTCGGTGGGCTCATTGCAAAGCTTTTGTATTTTGAACCGAGTAGGAGGGCGCCTGCAAGCGAGATCCTGAGCGACAGTTGGTTTCGTGCAGGTGGCACATGAGGCGGCGACTTTCAGGTCCGCTATTTACAAGAGGTATAGTGAGAAGAAGAAAATAGTAAATAGATCAAGTATAGAGCTGTCGCGCTGTATGTTATCATATATTAGCGTATTCTTTTTCGTGGGAAATACCTTGCACCATACATTATATGTCGGAGGGCTCACGTTTTTCTTATTAATTACAGCATAGCGTGCCTGATTTATGTAGTATTTTATACCTCATGTCCCGTTATGCATGAGGGTTCTGAACTTGAGCAGGTGGTGGCCCCCCATATGTAGCGATGTCGACATCATCGTGATCATCGGCATGAAGAGGCGTCTCCCCGGTTGTCGTTCTCGCTTCGATATCCGCTCCTGCCTCAAGGACACGTTGCAAAATCGCAGGGTTGGTCGCGGTCGAGTAAAGGGGTGTTTCCCCCTCTGCATTGACGGCCTTTATATCCGAGCCTGAGTCTAACAGAAGCTTTATACTGGCCTACCGACTGCGGCATTCGTGAAATCCTTATGAGATGTGTAACACTTTTAATGGGGAGCGGTGGGCATTCTTAGCAATCATGGATGGAGCATGATATTAGCATGACAAGCACTATGAGACATGTTCGGAAGTCTAAAGGAGTGTGGTAATAGGCCTGTGCGAAGTCTGTAAATGCCTGGCGATTCGCATGTTTGAGTATCACATCCTTCCCAAACTCGCCGCTGACAGACTACTAGTTCTTGGCCTGAAGCAGCGCCCATTGAACAAGTTGTGCAAGGCAAGGTAGACGAAGAAAGGTACTAGGCAGAGCTCCGGCATCTATCTGACACGGAGCCCCGAAGAGTTCCGAGTATGCAATTTACGTTGACTGACAATGATGTAACATGGGCCGCTGGTCCATCGGTGGATGGAAGGACCTCTATTCGAATCGACAACAGGCACTCTTGCTATTACACTTGAAGCACGATATTTTTACTCAAACTGGACATCTCAAATTACTACTATTTTATCCTGCCTGTCTCATACTTTTTCTCATGCTGTTGACGCAACGCGAGCCAAGTTCGCCGCATTGGGTGGTCGTTTAAAGTGATGAAAAATCTTCAGTAAGGGAATGCGAATAAATCTTGTCGTTAAATGAAGGGAAAATTCCAACAAGGCCCAAGATGGTTGTAAAGAACCTAAATAATCGTGCAAGGTTGTCAAATTCTACAGTTTCTCTAGTTACATGTACTATGTAGAATGGGTCTTACTATAACAGACAAGTACGATAATCAAGTATTATTTGTATTGCTTGTACTGTAGTTTCTAGGGGAAGCCTAAAGTGTACAAGTTCGAGTCGGTCATCCGCTTTAGGGATCTCTGCGGCCTTTTCATAAACATCATTGCAAGCAAAGCGACAGAGAAGACTTGGTCAACGGCACGACATTCAACACGCACGTTGCTCTGTTCGGCTAATTCGCACTATTTATCAAGTACCACGCTTGAACGGCGTCAAATTCAACCGATAACGGTCGTCTTATCCTGTCAATCTGATACAGCCACATTGCCGTATTAGCTACACACATGGCAACCATTGTTTTGTTTCCCATTGGCGACGTGAAGAAGAAGATAAACCCCATATTAGCTCTACTCTACAAGTCTATTCAGCGTCATCGTCCTAGTTTTGATGCACGCGCCACGCCTTGAATTCCTCTTCCGATATGTGTCTCAGCCTATTCACCTCGGCGGGCTTGCCTCTCAATGCACTCTGGGCAATTTCAACCGCCTGCATAATCTGGCCCTTTCCCGACAGCGCATAGGTGGCCGTCTCGGCCGTGACCCTGACGATGCCGATGCGGGGATCATTCTCGGAGGCGTCGTGAACGCCGTCGCCCAGGTCGCCCAGCCACGCCTTGAGAGTAGGGCTGTAGTACTTCTTGACGGCGTCGCGGTCGGTGATGATGGACGCGTGGCCCGACACCGAGGCCCATTCGCCCGTGGCGTTGAGGAAGGCCATGTTGACGTCCGGGTCGCCGGCGACGTCGTCCGTCTTGCCCGACTCGGTGTTGGTGTGGAAGATTAGGTCGACGCCGTTGTTCTCCGTCCCTGCTAGGGCCATGCAGCGGGAGGCTAGGCGGCTGGAGCCGGCTGATCGCGTCGTCATCATGCCGTACTTGCAGTTTGTGATGAAGGTTCCCAGGTCTGCCACCTTGGTGCGCACGTCGGGGTCCTCCTTGTTGGCCTTGGTGTACGGGTCGGCGGGCTTGTCGCCGGTAGAGGTGTTGGAGAATGACATGGTGAAGTGGAATTTGAACAATTGATAAAGTGCGGAGTACTGGGACTTGTTTCTTTCCTTAATTTGAGCGCGGATGCGTGCTTTTTAAGTAGTGACGGATGGTGGTGGATGACATCATGGAAAATGTTGCATGACGCAAATGACTGATGCATGTGTCGCCGGCAGATTTGCAACTCGGATCGAGATTGTTGCAGATCGGGATTGGAACTGCTCATCATTTACAGATTGATCTTGATTCTCACATTACCATATGTGACGAGGGTTCATTCAGTTCGTGGTCGTAGGTGACAATAGATGGCTTATCTTGATTGCTAGAGCTTGAGTACCTGCAGTGGTTCTAAATGGATTATTCACTAGCAAGCTAATGAAGAAATATGGTGGATAAGAACGATAACAAGGACACCCGCGGATTTTTCATTGTCCGTGAATGATAATCTCTTTTCTATTCTTATATCGCTGGCGAACTCTCTACGATCAAGACTTGATGATACATCATGAAGCGTAGATGGTGAAATGGAAACCAACAAGTATAGTATATCGTGGAATCAAAGAATGTGTCCCATCCAGCAACAATTGTATAAGCAAAATTGTCATTGTCCGCATCATTGCCTCGGCTTGTACATCTGCAGTCTGACCACCACTTCCTGGCAAAGGCACCTGCTCCATTCTTTCTGTCGCAAGACTCGTCGTAGCGGATGATTCGACGACGTGGACTCACGGAGGAAGGCGAACTTGGCCAGTTTTATGGAGAATGGACACAGTATGCAAGTTGAGTAGGACTGCTCATGTTACGCAGAGCAGCGGCCAGTTATTTCCTTCCCCGTCATGAAGGATGCAGCAGGGCCATGAACCTGCATAAACGGAAATGAACGCGTTGTCACAGTGTTGATATAATATGCAGGGCTGCATTGACGTAATCACAAGGGCTTGTTTAAAACTATCTGTTAAACCTTACCTCCATGTTCCCCCAACAAGAAAAAAGCCGTATAGCGGTGGTTTGCCACGTCTGGTTATAAGTCCTTTTTGACTTGTGACAATGGCCACTTGGCCATGCCGTCCAGGCCGTGATTACATCAAGTTTGCAGTAGGCTACTCGCTTGGGCAAAAGGGGGCTCTCTGCTCCGAATAATGCGAGGCCAAGGGTATTTGACCAGACCGGGTACCTAGCTATGGTGCTCTATATAATGATATAGTAGTGTATAGTCAAAGCATATTTGTCCCAGACTGTACGTCTGCCCCAGTCTCAAGAATGCAAGAACCTTTTTGTTTTGCTTGTACATGCGACACCGGATACATACCACCTTTCGAGTCAGGACATCCAACGCATCATGTAAGAACTGCACCAAGACTCGTGGTTGCACTGACTAGGAGCCAAGCAGAGAGAGTTTTATTATAGCAAGATGCGTTGGTTTCCTTACCTATAGATACCCAACTGCTTCCTATTGCAGTGCGCCTGCTTCGGGCTTTCACGGGGTATAGTCCTTGTTTAACCAAATATCCAACTACTATTCTAGTCTTTTATAAAGGACTTCATCGATCGAAAGTGCTGGCTGTGAGCTATATTATTTGAAGAAAAATTCGAGTTACGGCATTACGTCAAAGAAACCCAAACTCAACAAAGACTTTAATATTATGAATCGAGAAAGGGCACCAAAGGAGGGCTTCCAAGGCGTGGCCTCGCCTATCACGCAGAACGAGTCCCATGGAGAGATGATACATCCAAACGCCGGCACGAGTCATCCAACCTTCATCAAGGCGTGCATGCAGAATACATGCTACACATGATACAACAACGGAAAGAGCCGACCCATTGGGTTCCAAGCTTCATGACCGAGAGGCCTCTCCGGAAGCCGCCCTGTCAGAACTACTCGTGACACAATCATCACAAGGAGACGCCGGCCAGAGACGGCTCTTTGGCAGTGGGCTTGACCTCTGAAAGCATGAGACACGAAATCTCAGCCGAAAGCTCAAGGCCACAGAAAGCTATTTAAGACCCGTCATGTCCTGCTCATTTATCCCCCTCCAAGCACGGACAAGCCTTCCATCAAGCCAATATACACCCATACCTACTCCTCCAATAATACCAGCCTTTGGCTCTTGGAAACAAGAAAAGCAGTCATGAAGGTCTTTGGATTCTTGACCGCCTTGCTGGCAACAGCCAGAGCTCTTGCGGCCATCTCCCCCGAAGAGAAGCAAGAATGGGAAAGCTGCACCGACGACCTGATATACGCTTACAATCACGGCGCCGCCAGAGTCGAGAAGCCGTGCGTTTTCTGGGAGTGCCTTGACACAAACACCAACAAGTACCCCCGCGGCGGCGGCATCACCGCCCCCCCAACATTATCAGCAGCGTTAGCCTTGCCATTATCCAGTGGCTAGTACATTGAGCAGCGCGACTCTTTCTCATCCGCTCCGACAATAGAAAAGATAACCTGTTCCTCAGTGGGATCTGCACACCGCCCCCAAGCCGAGTTGGCAGGAAGTCGAAGACTGACGCACCTGCACTCGAGACCTCATCAAGACCTTTGACACCCCAGCCAGCGGCGATGAAGCGGCATGCGGGATGTGGGCTTGCCTTCATAACGACGCCGACGAGTATAATCGCGGAGGCGTCGTCACCAAAACCTCCATGATGCTCAGTCCGCTCTGCAACGTTCGTGGGCGAACACCGGCACGTATAAAGGCCAAGGAGGCAGGACGCCTGTGGGACGTGCGTACATGTACTAACCGTGGAGATGGGATTGGAATTAAGTTGACAGCATGCCAGTCGGAGGGTGCTGGCTGGTGGTGCATGATGTAAAAACGAACAAGACTACCGTTGTTTCTGCCATTCGCCTTTTGGCATTCAACAAATGGGTATACGTACGGGCCCTGACCACATCATATAAAAGGATGTAAACGTGTGTAAGAAAAATGTCTTGGTTTCGCACAAGTGTGCTTTGGACCCTGGTGGCGTGATGCGTCTTGTACAGTGGGAGGCAAAGAGTATGTAACCACATCAGGCACCTGGCTTTCACATTCGACATCATAATGTACTATAGTAGTGTACACTTGTCGGTGGGTAATATATTCTGCCTGCCCTAGACTGTAAATGCTTGAATTGTATATAATTTAAGCTTCGGAATCCCTCTCCATATAAGGAGCAATCTGCGCTCAATCAAACAGAAGCGCAGAATATCGCCGCTTCGCTTCATCCGGATCCCAGTCCACAATGCGCCATTCTCCCATCTCCTCCATCTTTCTCTCCACAAACGGCTCCATGGCCTCCCTCTCGCCGTCATTCAACAAGTGAACTCTTGTCCTCCACAAGTCGCCCCTGGCAACGCCGTCTCCGCGAGCGCCAAAAAACCTCTCGTCCAGAAACTTCCAATACACGGCGTCAAACGCCCAACTCTTCCTGGCTGCATAGCTCAGAAAAAACCGTCCCGTCTCCCAGCTTTCCCGCATATACCTCGACAGCGGCTGCGGCAAATGACTCGACCCCGTCGCGTCTGCTTCTGCCTTTTCCAACGCCACGAGCCACGTCTGCAAACGCACATGGTACGCGTTGACCCAGTCGTCCATTCCGGCGGACCACATCTCGGCGGTTTCAATGAGGAGCCACCAGGGCGGATCGAGAATAAACTGCGTGGGCGCAGCGTAGGTGAATTCCCAGTCGATAAGGGCGGCAATCTCATCTGATTCAGTCAGGAGAATGTTGCCGGCGCGAAAATCGTCGCCCCAAAGCCGGAAGGAGTGTGTGCCAGGAGGGGCGGGACACAAGGTAGAGGCTAGAATCTTGCATGATTGAGCCGACCAGCCGTCTTGTTCGAAACCAAAGGTGGAGAGTTTGCCTTGCTTTGCTAGCCTGCGGAATACTTGCCGAGCCACATACTTGTTTCGACAGTCGTCCTCGGAGCTGACGGCGTCATTGTGCTGGAATATGAGTTGTCCAATGTGCATCTCGGCCAAGGCCGTGTACCACTGGTCGGCAGTCTCGTAGGTCTTGTGCCGTGGCGGGAGAATGTCGCGCGGAACGTTGGCAAGGCGAACCATGTCTGTCATGTTGTGCGTGACTGGCCTGCGGGCAACTTGGTAAATGCCTTTATCGACTTCGACGACGGAGCCGATCCGAGAAAAGGTAAGACGCGATAGCTGTACAAGACAATGGGCCACTTGGCACCAGATGGCTTGTAAAGTAACCTGTGCAACATTCGGATCCAACACGTGAGGCGCTGATGGATCTCGGCTTGGCCTTGTTAACCTTGCTGACATGCTGCCTCGATTCTCAACTCGGTCCAGGATGACATACGGGCCGACGGGCGAATCACAGCCGTAACAATGGACTTTGGGGACGGGGAGGTTTGTGTTTTGGGCAAGAAAAGCGGCCGTGGCGCCTTCTTGAGCCGTCTTTTCGTCCGGGAACTGAACAAGACTAGGGCATGGGAGCCGAACCATGATGTCGGGTGTAATTTGAGGCAGGCGTATTCTGTAGAGGATATTGAAACCACCGAGGATCAATGGTGATATGAGGGCTGCTGACGCCCCGAATTTTTCTTCTGCGAGCGCTTCCACCTTGCGGCAGGTGTCCTTGAGCCGCAATTGTTTCACCGCTGCATCAGAGTCTTCCTCATTCTTGTCCCATACGAGGTTGTCCAGCTCCTCTTGCCCGTCGTACATTATGAGAGAGCCCAGCGAGCAGGGCGGGTGTGTCGCCGGACCAGAAGCAGATGGGGTGCAGCCAGCTCGGGCGGTTAATCGGGATTCAGGATTCCGTATTCAGCAAGGTGTTTTGGCCTCGAGTGGCTGCAACAAGCGCTCATTCAGAACAAACCATGCATGAGTCAGACGTGACACGGGGCATACACGACAGGAAATCGAATTAAGCAGGCTCGCGTCATAGTTGGCGTGTCTCTCTGCGCTAGAGGTAGGGAATCATAGTTCGAGATGGTCATGTTGACGATGCATCGTGCTTGGAAAGGTGACGAGCCGAGACAAATGGGTCTGAGCTTTTCAATGTTGTTTAATTGGTTCAATTATTCAAGCACAAAGACCCCACCTTGTGTTGTCTGGTTGCCTAATTGAACCAGACTCTTTTTTTTTTTGACAAGGCAAAAAGCTCAATCTCAACGGCCATGTTGTTGAGACGATTGCACTTCTCTTTTGTAATGGGCACATCATTTTTATAAACTCCAAGATGCTCCCCCTGTGGTCATGTGATGTGGTAGATTGTCAATCGCCAGCTGTTCAACGAGCCGGGGATTGTTTGCTCTGCGGCCGCCATCTTTGCCGTACTCACCTCCAGGACCAGTGGCACACATGCCCCAAGCCAGAAGTAGGTGCATCCAACACCCAAAAGCACCCGCTCTCGTCCATGAAATTGCTATTCATCATGGCCATCAGTCCAACTGGAACGAGTACAGCGCTCGGCATGTAGCCCAGGAGTCCCGGCGGCTGGAAGAGCTGTGCAGACGCATCAACAGCGGGCATCTATGCGAGCGCGCGTCCCAAGTGCGCGGCGCCAACGCCCCATGCTCGATTGACCTCTCCCCGGGGACACTTTCGGCCATGATGGGCGGGCAGAACTGCCATGCCGACGTCGTATTCGCAGACGGTATCGTGTGGCTCGCGCGGTTCCGACTGTGTAGTCCCATATCGCCGCCGCTCGAGGTGCGCGACTACGTGCTGCGCAGTGAAGCCGCAACCATGGAGTTTCTGCAGCGCCACACGAGGATCCCCTCTCCGCGCGTCTTCGACTGGGCCTGCGAGTCGGATCCGGCGAATGCGGTGGGCGTTGGCTATATCCTGATGGAGAAGCTGCAGGGCGCGCCGTTGGACTGGCAGCGCGCAACCTCGGTGCAGAGGGCCAAGATTGTGCGGCAGCTCGCAGACGTAATGCTGGAGATGGAGAGACACCCCTTTGACAGGTTCGGATCGCTCGTGGGGACGCCGCCCGTGTCCGGAGGCGAGGTAGCATCGGCAGCCGAGATACAGGTCCAGGGTCTGGCGCAACATTCCACCTTTCGGTGCGGTGTGGACCATGGGCCGCCGGGCCCCTTCCGCTCATCACGGGAGGCTTTGCGTGCCCTCGTAGAGGCGCACCTTGGCATGATTGCCGGCGGAGAGATTGGGACCGCCGAGGACGCCGCCGACGTGTGGCTGGCCCACCGGTTCCGGCTCGACGTTTTGGTGGATGGAATGTGGAAGGCGAACGCGGCAGGCGAGGACGACACCTTCTTCTTAAAGCATGCCGACGACAAGGGCGACCACATCTTGGTTAATGCCGACTTTGACATTGTGGGCATCATCGACTGGGAGTGGTGTAGCACAGCGTCCAAGGAGGAGGCCTTTTCCGCGCCGTGCATGATGTGGCCGGTGGCAGCCTTCTACGACGGCTCCAACGAGCTGGCAGACGAGGAATTGCTCCTGGCGCGCGTATTCAGCGAGGGGGGCCGCGAAGACCTCGCCCGCTGCGTGCTGGACGGGCGCAAGGTCCAGCGGTTGCTGTTCGCCCTCGGTCCCGGGGCGTCACACGAGGACAGGACGACGTTTGCCCGTCTTTTCATGGGTCTGAAGCGGGCATTCGATCCGGAGCACGGGGGCAGACAAGACAAGCAAGGGGGAGAGGAGCAAGAGTGGGAGGCGTGGAGAGCAGGAGCGCTTGTGAAATGGCAACACGACGGTTCGTTGAAGGCTTTACTCAAGAAGGCGTGACAAGTAGCCGCAACGAAATTTGATTGTCAAAGAGAGCAAGAAATGGATCATTTTGACAGACTGTACTGGATGGTTGTCTGGCCATTGCCCTATTGGAGATGGAGTCAAGATGGTCGTTTGACCAACACGAGTACATCGATTGCCGTGAAATCGCGGCAGCTTGCATTTATTTTTCTATTCTATTGCCAGTTTACACCGTGTACACGAGCTTCTTCCCGCTGACCTTGTTCTCCCTCAAAGCCTGCAGACCGTCCAGCACGCCGTCCAGCCCTCGTCCCAGCTGCACCGGCGGGACCTTGAGCTTCCCCGACGCGAGCAGCTCTCGCGACAAGTCCCAAAACTTGACGGCGTACTCAAAGTCCTCCCTGACAACGGGTTGCGGCTCGCCCTTAAAGCTCCACGCCTCCCCCATTGCCGTGTAAGCCAGGGACCGCGTGTCCGTAACGTCACTCCGGGCCGTCGTCGCGGGGAGAAGAGCATGGTACCGGAGGGTAGTCCCCGGCGGCGGCGACGACGCCAACGCCCCCTCGCAAATCTCGGCCGATTCAGGCAGGGAGATTGTGTCCAGCGCCACGGCAAGCGAGTCGTTCGTGTAGGCGCGGATCTTGGCCGCGCACTCCGGGTCGTTGTAGTCGAAGACGGCGTCGGCGCCGAGAGCCTCGACCAGGTCGTTGTTGCGCGGGGAGCACGTAGTCACGACCTTGTACCCGGACAGCTTGGCGTACTGGATGGCAAGGATGCCGGTTGCCGTGCTCCCTCCGTAGATGAGGACGGGGGCAGCGTCCCGGGCGGGCGCCGAGGGCAGAGCAAGACCCAGGCCCTGGTATAAGCTCTGCGCGACCGTGGTGACGCTGACGCCGAGCGTGGCCGCGTCCTCGAAGCTCAGGTTGTCGGGGATCTTGATCTGCACGTCGCCCTTGACGACGATGTACTCGGCAAAGGTGCCGTCCTCGTGCTGGACGGCGTTGCTGCCGTGTGCGATGCCGCAGATGCGGTCGCCCTTTTTGAAGGGTTTGGTGACGCCCGGCCCGACGGCCTCGACGACGCCCGCGTAGTCGCAGCCGACTACGGGGCCGGCCTCCTTGATCATGTGGTCGATGTGTTTCCAGTCTGTGGGGTTGAGGCCAACCGCCGCCGTCTTGACCAGGATGAAGCCATCGCGGAGCTTGGGGATGGGTCGGTCAGCCACGACTTTGGCCACCCCTGGGCCCTGGATGACGACCGCTTTCTGGGTAGTGGGCAGAGACATTTTTTTTCTATTTGGAGCGGGAAACTGTAGTTTGTAGCCTGGGTGGAATGGGAAGTGTGGATGGAGAGGGGGATGGCGGAGCTTTTTGACTTCATGGCGTCAAGAGGCTTGGCTTGGCTTTATATAATTAGCAAGCTCGCATAAGATCCCATCAGGTCCTCTATCCCCCGGATTATAAATCGAAATATCCGTGGCGTCTTTTTAGTTTGTGCGCTTCATGTGTGGGCCTTGTAGTGTACTGGACCAGCAACCCCGGCCTTTTCCAGGCCCCGGTATCTCGGCGGTGATAACGGCAAAAACTACATATGTAGGTTTCTGTAAAGTCCGGTTGAATTGATTACTTATAGCTTCTTCGTAGGTATGATTTCTAAGAGATCTACTCTGACCCTCAGAACCCGCTTCTCCTGCACTTGTTTCGCAATCTACCAAGGCGGGTCCATCCATGACATAATCTCTGGTTACGTGAAGTTTAAAATGAACATTACCGAGCAAGAGCCTCGGAAGGGCCTGTGTTGAGCGCGATTTCGGCACTCGCTGATGTGTTTGGTTATCGCTTGCTTTGCTGGCCAGATCATAACCGCCTGATCAAAAGTGGCATGAGTCGTACGTGCTCCGCTATACACCAATGAGATGTGCTGTTCTTCCACACAGGCTTAATAATGCGTCAATATGACTAATCCTTGTAAGAGTCTGGTAGGTCCCAGGCCGTGCCTCGCTCAGCACGATTCCACCTTTTCATTGTCTCATTATTTTCCCCAAAAACTTACTCTTTCCCCCGGGACGTATACTTTGTATAGCGTTATGAGAACTCGATTTTTAGGTAGTCGCTTATAGTCTTTGAATCTACTAGTTATTAATGTATAAAATACTAAGCCTAAAGTTTTTAAAGTAAAAGAACATAAATTATTAGGATAATAAAACCTATTAGTATTATTAGAAAAATTAATTTATTTTATTTTATTATTAAATTTATGTTTTTTAAACATTTTTTTATTATTTAATTATTTATATAATTATTGATATACTATAAGTATACTTGATTTCTTGACTTACTGTGATCTTGAAGCTATCAAGGCAGATCCAGAAGGCTGAGTACGACTGGAAAGACTGGAAGCTGAGGCAGAACAGCGCAATCATTGATCTTTGTTCACCCCAAACTCGTATTACAACTTGAGTTGCAACCTCAACAATTTCCCAGACTCAATTCCATCCTAGTTCACTCAAAACGCTCCCCGGCTTGGTCTCCCTTACTTTGGCGCTGTCAGATAGACCGCCTGACAGGATAGAAGAGGGCAATTAAGCAAATTTCTGTGCAGAAAATAAAATCACAGCCAAGTCTACCTCCCGCAATGTGACGGCTGGAATGTCTCTTTTTGTCCTTAGTCCTGCGACTGCAAAAACCTGACATAGGCCTGCAGATCCTTTTCATTCACCGCCGCTTCCCTTAGGAACCCATTGCACCCCGTTTTCTGCAATGCATCGACAGTGTTTTCACGCTTGAACCTCGCCATTCCTTCATACAATTCGATTCGGGTCCGTTCTCCAAGCACCTTCTCCTCCAACATGGGCAGCAGAGGTGTAAGCCGCAGCTTGGAAGCATTTTCAACCGCGGTGCGTATTCTGTCAAGCCAGTCGTGATATGGCAAACCGGTCATTGTGACATTTGCCGCCTTGCCAACAAGACGAAAGAGCGTATTCATATCGATGCTCGAGTCGAGATCAGGAACAAGATGGTATGCGCGTCCCAGGTTATCGTTTGACGTGGAAATCAGTCTCATGGCGGATGCCACGTAATCAACAGTCACAAGCTCTTCGCGCTGGTCTGGAAGCAGGGGAAAGATTCCTAGCCTTGTACAATCTGTCAACAGGCGGCTGGCGAAATCGTCCAAATTACCAATACCGCTTTCGCCGTGACACAAGACAAATCCGCAGCGGTAGATGGCTGTGGGAAACCCGCGCCGCATCAGGGTCGAGACCAACTCATCCGCCACCCACTGACTTTGTCCATAGCCCATCTCATACGGGATAGCATTCTCGACGTAGGGTGCCAGAGACCCGTCCTCGTCGATCAAATTTGGCCGATTTTTCATCAGACCAGTCGGGCCAAAGGCTGAAATAGTTGACGTATAGTGGAATGCCTTTGGTTTTCCTGTAGCGGCTAGGCGAAGCAGGTTGAGTGTGCCCAAGACATTGGCAGTCCGGGTGGCAGCATATGGCTCGTTATAGTTGACCTGGGCGCCCAGATGAAAGACCACGCTGGCCCATTCCGCCAGTTCCTGGAAGCTCGATTCCGTTAACCCGAGCCTGTTCTGGGAGAAGTCTCCGGGAATAACCTCTATTTTGGTCCTGAGGTCCTCCTCCAGCTGGGCAAGTCGGTACTTATCCAAATTTCTGAACAATTTGGAGTAGGCAGTTTCTAAGCGGTCTGCACGAACAAGACATCGGACTCTGTGGACTTGTGGCATCCGAAGCAGCTCGAGGAGCATGAAGGCCCCGATGAAGCCCGTGGCACCAGTCAAGAACACCCTGCCTTCTCCAGCAGACAACCAGTCTACGGGTTCTACTTGGGGAATAGGAATATTTCTCCAGAGGGTAGCCGCGTCCATCAGAAGATTGTCTTGGATCTCCTTGGCTTGATACGCAGGTCTGTGGTGTCGTTCTTGCTGGATTATGTCTGCGAGGCCACGCAGGGTCGAACACTCGTAGACAGTCCGAGCGAGGATGTCCACTCCGAAGACGTGATGCACACCGTGAATCAGAGATGCCACGTGCAAGGACGTGGCACCTATACCAAAGAAGTCGGTCTCGGGCTGGATATCATGCCTCGGAACCGTGACAAGGATCTGGCTCCACAGAGAACGCAGCTTTGCTTCGGATGACATGGACTGGTCCGACTTCATGACTTCAATGGAGCTCTGCTCGCTGAGGCGGCGTATGAGCCCATCCACCAGAATCTCGTGCACTCTTTTTCTATCAATCTTTCCATGTCGAGTCATGGGCATGGCTCCGAATTCGACCAGCTGTGGGACCATGTATTTTGGAAGACGCGCCTGGCATCTTGCAAGGAGACATGGACTGACGCTTCCCCCTCGAGAGGGTAGATATGTCACGCAGGCCACCAGCAGGGACATATTTGCATCGGGGAGATTCACCTTGGCGGCAACGACTGAACTTACGAGGCCAGTACACAGAATCTCCGACTCAATGACATCCAAAGGAATGCGATAACCTCTCATCTTGACCTCTCGGTCCATGCGGCCGACCCAGACCAGGTTCCCAGCATCATCTCTACACACAGCGTCTTTGGTACGGTAAAGGCGGCTTGGCTCCTCCCTAGGCCCGAGGCCTGGAACTGTCACAAACCCAGTTCGTTGTGCGTCTGGTGCCTCAAGATAGCCCATGGAGAGTCCGGCACCTCCTAGATAGAGTTCTCCCTGATTATTTCCCGTCACTGGCCGAAGCGAGTCATCGAAAACGTGTGCCACCGTCTTTCCAAGAGGTCTGCCAATGGGCAGATAGCCACTCGCCGCATCTTGCACACCTTTCCATGTGATTTGATGTCCGCACGCGAGAATAGTACACTCCGTAGGCCCATAGCCGTTAATAAGTCGACGAGGGGGCCCATGCTCCAGCACAGCCTTGCAAGGTCCAATGCTGAGGCCCTCTCCACCAACGATGACGGTGTTCATCTCGGAGAAGGCAGTCGGGCATGCCAGTGCCACCATGTGAAACAAGGCTGTTGGCAAAAACGCAAACGTGACCTGCTGTCTTTTCAAGGAACGAGCGAAAAGTCCAGGACTGAGAAGCTCTCGTCTGTCCATGACAACGATTGTCGTCCCGTTGATGAGGGAACACCATATATCGATCAGCGACACATCGAAACATGGATTGTTGAGGTGGCCAACCGTGTCCTCACCGGAGATGGCTTCGCAGAGTGGATCGCGAGCAATTCTGACAATCCCAGCCGCCGGGATCTGGACACCCTTTGGCGTCCCCGTGGTACCAGACGTGAAGAGGATGTGTGAACGAAACGTGGGCTGCAAAGGTTTTGGAATATCCTGCGTCTTGTCCCTCAGAAGTTCAATGTTCGGGTCACGAATGAGTACTACCTTCTCCGCTAATAGTTGACGATCACGGTGCATGTCGTCGACAATTAGGAAATTCACATGTGCTACATGGAGTTGTGCTGCGAGCTCAGCATCCGAGCGTTCGCTGTCCAACGGGACGCATGTAGCACCGGCATAAATCACCCCTACTTGAGCGATTAAATGGGGTAACCCAAATGCTGTGAGAATACCGACTGGGTCCTCATACGCAACTCCTTGTCGAATCAAGTCCAAAGAAATTTCCTTGGCTTTGAGATCTAGTTGCTGGTAGGTGATGGAGAGACTCCCATCAATTATCGCGTTTCTATTTCCATGGCAAACGACATTCCGAGATAGGAGACCCGCTATATCATGATCGGATATATGAGACGTAAAATCCATAGTGGTCCAATGAAGACTGCGAGTGCCTGAAATAATTGGGGATGTGTTGTGACAAGGGCTCAATTCAATAATAATCTCGAAGGGTCTCCAAGGTCTTGAGTTGCTAAAAGCAAGGAAGAGAAGGGTGACTGCTTTATATACATAAAAGAAACGCCCGGGCCTAGGTCTCTTACCCGGGCACGTGTTAAAGCTGTGTAACCAATAAGTCCCGTATTAGTGAAGGCCCTTTGTTGGGCTTCACGATCTGCTGGGCCTTTTCCGTGTAACACGTGTCTTGAATCATTCCGCCATAAGTCGAGAATCACAAGTCCATGAGGGGCGTGATTCAAAGGATTTTATACTCGGCTAATCTGTATGAAGAGGTCATATGTTAAAAGTACTAGGATATGCCTAAGTTACTAGATTCACCACCGGAAGGACATCAGTAGCTCAATCACTCTCTCCGTATATAGTACTCTCGGCTCGTCTTTCGAGACTCTCTGATGACAGACTTGGAATGCTGTGCAATTCTTGGAATTTCATATCCATAAAGTCTATGATACATTTGTCTTTTGTTCTCGCTCCTCATCCTTGTTCGAAAAGTTACCATCTTCCAAAGGCTCCATATTGAAATATCGTCCATCGGCAGACATTGCCGGCTTGGGGCTCCATCGATATGGGGTAATTGACCAATACGCGGCCTGCTAACCGATTCAAGCGTTTCCAAGGAAAACCTTCTTTTTGATGTGACGCTACACATCATAGTCATTCCATTCTAGGTTTGCAGAGCATCTAGAAGGAATCCAATCAATCCATCGACGATTCACAGTGCGGCAACCATAGATCGGGGTTCAAGCCTGTGATCTTGGGATTCTTAGGAATCTTTCAACAACTGATTTATTAATATAAAAGCCATTACTTTTCAGTGATTGGTACAGTACTTAATACCAACAGCTTACTTAACATTCCTATGCTTGTGCAGGGTTTGCCCGCGTATGGATGGCTGCATTAACGCTAGCGATGCTACAAAGGTCTGTGTATCTTTTGTAGCACTATGTTCTGGCTATTATATCACGAAGGTCTCGGATGATTGAGGGAATGTGCCTTTCGCCTTTCGCGGTTGCAAAGTTGCTGACAAGAAACCTACAAGTCTGTACCAGAAAAGCTTAACTGACACCACTATTTGACGAACATGTTGGCCATTTTCTGACCAAGGATTTTCTGCTCCTACGGCCCCGAACTTTAAATGAACTGGTACCAATACACTCCAACTGTTATGACTCCCTTGGTTAAAAGTTAAATAAATGTTAGGTTAAAACATAATTGGCGTTATGAATTGCGGCTGCTACAATAAGTTATCATCCATCTAGGAGAAGTAATGTACGCACACATCACCATCCGCAACCTCAGCACACTGCGCACACCTAGCTATCTGGATCGGATTAACCACACCAGGTTGATGCCTAATTTCGAATACTTCATGTCTCCCCTCAACTCGACGCACTTGAATTCTTTTACCTGGTAGGTAATTAATACCTGCTGGATAGGGAGTCCAAGCCTCACGTAGTAGTTTTTCGATATGGCTTTGGTCAGCTACCCACCCTCCCTGCTTGTACAATCGTAATCGACTGACTGTATTTTCTCTTCTAGCCACCAGAGAGTTGTCGATTTCCCCCGTCGCAAATATCAAGACGGGATACGCTCGCCAGAAATTCTGCAAATTTCTCGGAAGACTTTCGGAAGTCTTTTCGCATAGGTTTGATTCCCGTTGAGAAAATCCACAAATGGCCAGCATACTGGTGCATGGTTGGGAAGCGGGGATCTCCTATCATAGAATTCCTGAAGGCGACGAGTTGCCTTTGCGACTATTTGCCGCCCGGATACGGCTCTGCCGTCGTCGGTGCGAAATGTTGTAGCCTGCCACGTCTTCAACCGCTGACGCGCGGTATGGTTGTCCTGGAATATGGCCTTATTTTGGGCACCAGCTCGATTCAGCTGATGAATGCACAACTCTTCCACCAAGTCCGCAGCCTCCATGGCTAGGTGAACATGACGTGTCTCGCAATACAGAAGAACAATATAGGAGAGCGATTCCAGTGGGTCCTCAGTTGAGTTTTCAACAGAAAATAAAGTTAATGCCCAGGACACTGTAGCGGCTAAGCTGGCCTGAAGTCCATGCCATGCAAATCCAAGTTGGGCGCCAAGAGTAATTCTCTCTGGTGTGAAGGCCATGGCGTCTGCATTCTGACAGCCGGAACTTAAGCTCGTGCGCGTGGCTATACTCTGAGGCACAAAGCTACTTTCGTTATTTTCATTTGGCATTGGAGATACTGTTGATCGCATTCTCGCGTGCCAGCCCAAGATGCAAGGCGTCTTTGTGGATAGCATGCCGTCAAGCCTTCCAGAACAGTTTTGGCCGTCGCAGGTTTTAGAAGCGTCCGTTTCCAGATGCCATACGTACCACTGATCTAACTTGCCTAGAAACTGGATCCATTCTTCCTTCAACTTGTTATTGCGCCGAGAGCTAGCGCTGGGTGATGGGTAGCTTAGGGGTATCGTTGGTTTTGCTGTTGTTTTGCTAGGAAGAAATGCGGGTTCAAGCCCAACCGCATGTGCGAATGTACAGGAGCATTTCTGTACAAGATCGTTGTCGAATAGTGACCACATAGCACCTGCAGTGAGAAAAAGACAATCCTCAGGGGGACGCTGTTCCTTCGCCTGCAAAAATGGTAATGGCTGATCGAAATAATGAAACAGCTGTTGGTCGTCAAGAACTATACCGTTCACTATTTTTTCCCGCCAACAGCCAGACGCTCCCTCCGGACCATTTCCTGCCATCTGGTATGTATCTGGATCAATCGTAGCGCCACGGAGTGCTACCAAAGTATCCTGCTCGAGATTCAGGTACCTTGCCATATTCTTTTCAACCCTAACGGTGGTAGTGATTACCGTTGAAAGCGGGTCTATAATGGCTATACCACTTCTTTTCTGTCGCATTTGAAACGTCGAATCTATAATGTTCTGTAGCCACACCAGCACCTTCAGAGCATCTTGTTCTAGCTCGGAGTCACTCTGCATGCCCAACACCCAACCACCACCTTAAACTGGAATGCTCAGAGTCTTCGCCATGACCTTTCTGATTCCTTTAAAAGACTCGATAGTGTACCCCTTCGGAATTTCATTCCTTTGGAAGTAATGCAGACTGCTTTCGACTATAAATAGGAAACATTCGAGAAGTACAGCACTGCTTGAAAACTGAAATATAGCGGCTTCAGCGAGAGACATTAGTGCTATGTGTTTACTGGTGTCCCGTACAAGAACACCTTGTCCAAGTATGTATGGCCAGGCTATCGTTTCCAGCTCGTTGATCAGAGCCTTTGGGAGCAGATACCACATGAACTGGTCATAACCCAAAGTGTCTTTAATGTTCCACCCATCCTGATTAACGACAGTCGTATAAGTCAAAGCCCTAGGCCCGGCTCTTAGCTCATACGCGTGCTGTTGTCTAGGATAATCCACTGGCAAGCCGCTAACTTCCACGATTGCATTCAAGGTTTGGCCGATCTCCCGTTTGACGTCGCTGGCGTGTATAGCCTCAAGGCAATACCTACGCGGATCATAGCTCAAGCTCGGAGTCGCGTAGGTGCGTTGACCGTAGCTGGTGTTAAGAGTATCGTGGGCGCGTGAATAATCGCTGGTGTTTGGAGTGGCGTAAGTAGACGGTTCATAGCCAGTATCTTGAGTATCATGGGTGCGTGAAGCATAGCTGGCGGTTTGAGAAGTGAAAACCAAGGCAGATGTAGGTAGTTCATAGCCAATTAAGTCTGGACCATCAAGAGATGGTTCATAGCTAGTATCTGGAGCACTGCCGGTCTGAGGTCTTCCATAGCTAGTATCTGAAACACTACCAAAACGGAGAGGTAACTCATAGCTAGTTAAGTAGAGAGCACTGCCGTTATCGAGTGGTGGTTCATAGCTAGTATCTGGAGCGCTGCTAAGAGGTGGTTCATAGCGAGTATCTGGGGTATTATGGGCGCCGTAGCTAGTGTCTGGAGTATGGCTGCTGGGTAGATCAGTGCCGTAAGAAGCACTTGGCTTGGATGAAGAATGATCAGAACCCTTATATCTTTTTAGGCAAAAAAGGCGTCGTAGGAAAGTGTTTTTCATGATTTATCATAAATGGAAGGAGATGCTCTGGAAGACTGCTTGCTGAGAATCGAATATTTAGTATGAGGTACCGCAATTTTTGAAACCAACGGAAAAGCTCCAAAGGAGACCGGTGCGCCTTAAGGTAAACTTTTGGCCGCATCTGGTAGGGAAATCGATACATATGTAATTTGGCTCGCATAATTGGGGACTTCAATAAACTTTGGGCTAAAATGCCACGACACCTTCCCTTCCACACATGGCATCATGGCGTAGAAGAGGCGCAAACAAATGCACACTGATGGCCCTTACCTTTGTAGATTTAACAAGCAGACATCATTTCAGCCCCACGAGGAGGTGGTGGCGACTAATACATATTCAAGTCATTGTTATGTCGACAGTCCTTAAACGTTGGCCAGACCCTAACCCTTTCTCGCCTCGGCGTGCCGTGAAAGACAGACTGTATTTAACCGTTAATTTCGGTCCATTGTAGACAAGATCGGCCGTGTATCTGTTATTAGCGATGTACCGCTTTTAGCTATGAATTGCTCGTTTGAAGCCCTGGAGGAGAAACTTGGAACCATTTTCATTAGTTACATGCGCACGAGAGACAATTCGTGGTAATTGTATGGATGCGGCATTAGCTGCGGTAGTCACGTAACAGAGGAGGTAACTGTAAATATTGTCTGTATGGAAGTAAAACGGCGGCTGGTGGGACCAGGATACAGCCAAGATGAAGAGATACCAAGAACTTGATTTAAACGAAGCAGAATTTTCATGCCCTAAGGAGCTCTAATTTCCCAGAAAAACCAAACAAGCACTACGGACGGCACCATGTAGCCACAGGGACTTCGAAATCTACCATCGCTAGCCTG